TACTACTACCACTCCTCCTTCCCTCCCCCCCCTCCCCCTCCTCTCTCTCTCTCTGTCTCTCTCTCTCCTCTTCTCTCACTCACTTACTTAAATTCTCTCTTTTTCTACTTTTTTGCCTCCATTACTCTTATTTATCCCTATTTTCTAGATCCACGAGGTCATATAATGATGTAACATAGGCTTTAGAGTGTTCTATAAAGTATGCTAAACTAAAACTACTACCACGCCGTCTAAACACGACGTAGTGTCCTTAATTAATATTAGGAATATCGGCAGTGAAATTCCAATGACAGACGCGGCAGGCAGACAATCAGTCCGGCAAGATTTGTGGCACTTGCGCTGTTTCCGGTGCGTAAAACGGGATTAAACTGATTGTCGGGGTGCCCCGCGCGTTTAATTTTTAACATTCAGTGTTGACACACGATGTCACGCAATGTCTACAAAGATAATGAATCAAAATTAGAAAGGAGGGGCACCCCACTGCTCGTACCGAGCAATCTCGCTTCTTTATATCCACCATGGCACCTTCATCATTATATTCCACCGTTACTAAACATCATTGTTTTAACTCTATTCTTTTCATTTTCTTCTTTTGAAAAATAATTTCTTTATACGTGGTGATACGTCCATCGGCGAATACGGATCGCCGCAAATACCTTCGCTTATTCGATTTGATCAGAAGCAAACCGATGTTAAATTGTCCGAAACGAAGATTACTAAGATTATAAATCACAAATGAAATCACAGACTTTCGTTGGTGGTTCGAATAGAAAGGGGCCGCACATTGCAATTAGAACAACGTTGTAGGCATTCTCAGGAAAAATTTGATGAGAGGCATGGGGAACTTCTCCGTTTTCCCCTCGGCTGTTCATTCCCATCCATTCTCCTTGATCATGTGGGCAAGTTCGATTATAAACTTTCCTTCTTTATATTTCTGACTTGATTCGAACGCATGTTCCTAAAAAATACATTAGACACCATTTAACATTATGAGTTTTCCTGCATTTAAGGCTTATTTGAATTAATGGATAACTAACATATTTCCATCCTAAAGTAGTTTTGCAACACTCGCAGTAGATATCAGCGACAGCGTGCAGTCCGGTTAATAAAACTCGCTCTTCTGCAGGACCGCAACCTACATTCACCCTACGTAACATAATTATCAATTTTTTATTATGTTTCTTCATGTGTTATATAATACAATAGAGCCTCGATTTTATAGATTAATAGAGGGTGTAGTGAATAGTGATGTCTGAAAGATTCAATTGTCCGGATTTCCCGAAGTTTAATATATAATTGTTACCGTTAAAATACGCCAATTGGTGAGACCAGCCTTCCGCCCTAATTAATATACCTCGCCTATCAATTACAAATTATTGATAGGTCGTCCAAATTTTAAATATCCTCTAAGTTCTCAGATTTTGTAGGAATTTTTCGAAATCCGGTAAATCGAGGGTCTATTGTCTTCATATAAGTGATTACTTTTCTATACTTTTTATAGAAATGGAAATTAGACATTATAAATATATAAAAATGTCGATAAAATGAGTAGCATTTGAGTAACATTTTTGCAAAGAAAATATTCGTTTTGGCTCAAAGAATTAATATAATAAAAAGATTAAAAATGAAAACGATGAAAATAATTCCAAGATATTCTGTCTACATATAATATATTGTAAAGTGCCCACGTCAGGAATGTTCTACTTCCAATACTTTAGTTATATACTTACACGGAATTGAAGAGATAGGCACGACCTTGACTGCCTTGGAAGGACTAAAATACGAAACTTCATTGTTGAAAATTGAAAAGTGATTAAGAAATTTATTTATTTCGTACCAACAACCGCGGTCGGTTCTTTACCATATCTTTGCCATATCTCTTATTTATATGATTTGGAAAATCTTAAGAACCTTTATTTATTCGATTTCAAAATTATGCCTTTATATCTAATCAAAAAAATTACAAAACTCTTTAAGAGAAAGTAAAATTAGAAGCAAAAAATTATATAATTTGTTTTATATAATTTTCACTATTTGTGAACATAAACATTGGTTCCTTCGTGTACAATTCGCTCAATAAATTAATAAAATGTGTAGACAACATTCTTCAACGTCGTAATTCAATATATTTGCAATGAAAAATTAAAAATCTTAATAGCGAAGGCGGATGTCAGAGGCTTTGCTATTATTTATGCGATGAAAGTGCGTCTCACCTTAGAGATAAGTTCGTCATGATTGGCGAGATGAGCACGGCAGTGAATGCACGAATAAGTGCGATGACAAGAAGGTAGGTACGCTTGAAAAGTTTTCACCATGATGATGTATCCAAGCGAGTGAGAGAGGACTTTGTCCTTGTTCCTATCTTCTAGCCTTTTGCCAAGCACAAGGATGCAGTTTCCTTTATCCCCTGAAATTTGTGTTTTCTTTTTCTCTTTTTATCTAGCAGACACGAGACTGAATTTCTCCGAAACGCGGGGTGGTGGTGCGATAGTAGCCCCGTTCACCGCCGCTTCGTGCTCCGATCAGCTATTAAGCTGGTTCAGACAGCGCCGATTCGGGAACACCTAAAATGAAATGGAGAGATTAGCGGAAATGCGATGTTGATTTTCATTTTAAATCGATTCTCACCGCAGCATTAAGCCCGTCTTCCAAAGAAATCTCATGACGCGTAACTTATCAACTTTTTGCTATAAACATGAAGCGATCATGCATTAAAGCCTGTTTTACACAGTCTACAATTCGCGACAGAATAGAATTCTGTTTATAATTACCGTAACTTTTTAACCTTTTAATTTAAATCTCCCGTGTAATCTAAACTTTTCTTTTTCTCTTCTTTGACTTTTTTCAAACTCAAAAGAAGTCGAAATTGTGGTCGAAACATTTTTCTATGCATTGATTAATAATAGTTCATAGTTTTTACGCTTTGACAACCGTGCTTTTGATTCGTACTGTCTTTTATATGATTATAAAGCAACGTAGTTTTTAAATGCAATTATAGAGCGTATGCATTCCACATCGATTGATATGTCGTCATGTGTTGGCGCGCGTTCAAATAAAGAAACAAGGACGTTATTATAAATCGTTAAAGGCTTTTCCTGTATGTAGACGCGCTCCATACTATGTGTCTCACTTATTTTTTAGAACGGATGCCAAACGTTTTATAAATCGCACATTCTCGCAAATTCTCACTAATCGCGATTGATTCTCGCGATGATTCCATTTCTTCTAGTGTAAAGGTACTTGTATATTTTCGAACGATTTCAAACATTACAAGTGCTTATTATAGCTGAGCAGCGTAGGAAAGATTTATTTTATAAAGCGTATATTCAGTTGATTTATACAAACGTATTCACAACGTGGGAGCTTTTACAATACGGACATTCCATTGTGTACGTGATCTTCTCTGAAGAAATCTGGTTTCAAACGAAATTTATGGGTTTTTAAATTAAGCTTATACTTATTTTAAATAAATATAAAAGTTAAATTGAACCAAAAACTATTATATGGAATTGTTATTCAAAATACATTGTTAAACTTTAAACGCATTTTTTGGGGAAGTTTAAATGTGCAAATCTTGCAGATATATTGCAATATAACTAAAAATATATGCTGTATGAGTAATTTTCGTCATAAACCAAATTTCTGGACAGTGTCACATATATTAAATTTGATCTCATCCTTCTGACAACCGGCCAATTGGTTGGACAAAGAAGGGAATGAGAGTATACGAAAACGAGTTTCTTAACGGGTGACTGACATGAGAACAAAGAACGGGACTTTTGGAGTCAATACACTTGTCAAGCTCATTATTACTTCTTGCAGACGTATTGATGTTTCGTTTTCTTCGCGCAAATTCTACGTGACGACGACCGGTTCGACAACTAGTCAAAACTCGATTCTCTTACGCGATCGACTAAAGCGAGAAAATCTCTTTGTTCAAGTTTTCAGAGCTAAGCTAGTACATAAGTATTGTAAGAAGAGCGTTATATATGTATATATATATGTATATATATATATATATATATATATATAATTATACTCGGACGCGGAATCTTGGAATAATTTTAAGAGAAATAATTAAATATTATATGTATGAGAGTCGATCAAATATAAATAAGACTTTTTGTATAATAAACGGAACACGCAATTGTGCACGTTTTGACGCAGTGGTAGAGAGAAGTCAGTGGGCGTGTTCGCTCTTGCTTTGAACGACGCGTCGTTCAATTGCTACGATTGTTTAGTAAGCTCATTCAAGATGAATGAACAAGTGTAGATGCGCAACGCATTCTTAAATTTTGAGAATTAAAGAACACATTAATTTTACAAAAATTAGACGTACAGTTTAGTATGACATTTTATCAAAACATCCCAAGTACAAATGGCATAAATTATTTAACGATAGAAAAGAAAGGTTTTTATATGACGCAAAGATTTTTTGCGCAATTAGCTTCGTACATGTTCCAAAACATTTTGCAAAACTGCAATAAAAAACTGCCGATTTAGTGGCAAAAACGCATAGAGATTTCAGTGGACACTGTGTAAAAAAATAAAAAAAAAAGCTTGACTAAAGATTTCTGAGAAAAATCTTGTTTATATTTGATTTATATATAGAAACAAAAATTGACCTTATTGCGACATAGTTGCAACACTGATTTTAATACAAAGAGAAAACAAAGAGAATGATGGATAAAAGATTAAAAATATCTGGAAAAAAATTCAAGTATTCAAATAAACTAATAATTTTCCAAGTAAATAACAAGAATTTACCAAATTTTGATGCTAAAGAATGTATAAACTTCGATAAAAAGAATTAAATAATCCGCAAAAGAATTTATTTTCAACGATAAGGAAAATGACTTTAAAAAATAAACATAACTTTATTTAAAAAGTACAATTAATCATTTTTAAATTACAAAGAAAATCGATTATTTGAATAAAGGATTTGCTGCAGCATCTTATAAAATTGTAACACAATATACATGAAAGTAAGTTAAATATTTTCCAAAGCAAGGTTGTTATTAAAAAATAAATGTTCACTCCAACATTCAAACGATAGCTCATTCTTCAATATAATCACTGTTTTTCTAACACACTTTATCCGACACTTTGTAAGACTTTTTATTCCTTCAAAAATGTTTTTAAATTGGGAAATTATGTGCCACAACTCGTTATATCTGAAGGTGAGAGAGAAGGTGAGAAAATAACGGAATGCGCGCGCGACTTGTTGCTACTACGTAGTAATTCCGTCGCGCAGTCAGCTGATAGTCCAGTCAGCTGTAAATGTACACAAAACCCGTTGTCCAACAGGTTCACGCGGTCGCACACGGAGCGATGCGACGCGCCGCCGCGATGTTCGATCGACTGGCGCGCATGCAAACGCGTGCATAAATGACACCATCCGATATACCTACACACATTGGTCCACAAGGACACACGTCGCGACACGCGAATACCTGTTTTCCTTTTTTTATTTTCCTACAATTAATTATTAATTAAATAAATAACAATTTTTTTCAGTATTGTAGAGTGTTTGATTGCTAAAACGCGCGCAGGCACTGGACGCCGTTATGTATATACGTTATGTATATAATTATGAGCAAAGAAAACATGTTTATATGCAAAATTATACTGTCTGTCCGACAAATAAACTTTTATCCCGCGGCAAAGTATAGTTATATCGATGAAATTTGCGACTTCCTGTACCGGTAGAAAAACCAGAAAGAGCAGGAGATAGAAAATCTAATGTAATGAACTACATTACATGTTTAATTAATCTGTGCAATGTTTCTTTGTCATTCGTCATATGACGCAATAAAAGATATGAATAACAGATCATCAGAAGACAAACCATCGTGGCTTGTTGTAGTTACGCGCAGAATTTCTATTTCTTCTAACAAATTTTTTCCATAAAAATGTCACACTTCTCGTTTTAGATATTATATTATTCATTTTTTAATATTTACTAAAATATTGATATTATTTAATATTTTGTTCACCGATTATATATTACGTATTATTTGATAAATAAATATTATGTTCAGTGCGAATAAATGAATGATGAGAGAAGAGATTTCTTAAGTCCCTTTCTTCTTGTTTAGATTTTTTCTAATTATAGATTATCTTAAATATACTTTTATAAATTACGCATATCTAAAATATCTAAGATATCTAATAATAAAAGTAAAAAGAGTGGTTGAAATTAATATTTTTATTCATTTATTTCACGCATAAATAAGAATCAGAAAGCATATTTTGAGATCGGAAAAAGTACGCATACCTTGTAAAAAATTTTGTCATTGCCATTTAGTTTGACGATTAAATCGGTTTTATCTGAAACATTTTTCAATGCAATAAAATAAAATAATTGTAAAATATTTTAATAGTAAGTTATTCAAAAAATGTAAATTACACGAATCATGTGCAACAGCTCGAATAACTGCATTTGAGAGCGCAACCGAGATAATGGCTTCGATATTTTTATGTCGCAACAGTTGAATCAGCTGTGAATGTATACAAAACAAGCCAATGTGCATTAACTATTTACTGACATTGTCGTTACACATCACTTACGATATATATTACACACGTATATACATACATCACGCGCGCAATAAATAATAGAAATGTCACGATCGTGTCACACAAAAGTTGCTTTGAAAAACTGATCAGATGAACTAATTAATACAGCAGACGAAAGAATGACGAAAGATTGTGAACGATCCATGCGACATTATATTCGTGTGATCGTATATACGAAACGATCTGAGCAAGCAAAGCGAGACAAAGAGAGACAAAGCGAGATGAAATAAGGCGAGGCGAAACGGGATAGATAAGATGAAGAAAAGCGAGATGAAGCGAAGCAAGACATAACGATTGAGGCAGCTGACAGGCCCCATCAGCTGAGAACGTATACAAACCCGATGCTTTAGCGATCTCTCTCTTTCTTTCTCCCTCTTTCTCTCTCTCACATACGCGCGCGCGCACTCTTTCTCTCTCTTGTTTGCTCACTCTCTCTTACTCTCTCTTTTTCTCTCTAACTCTCTCTTATTATTGGAAGTTCAATGCGCGATGACTTTCGCTCAGCGCGAGAAAAATATCTTTTATTAAATTCGACGAAAGTTCGAAAATAATATTGCGTAGTTCGAGACAAATGGAGACAAGTATGGAGTACGTATGATTCCGACTACGCTTTGCAATCACAGTCGACAATGCTGAGAAAACAATGTTCCATTGAACCGAGAAGGCTGGTCAAATGACAGGAAAGACTTATTTATTAGTCGCAATTGTAAACGACGTCATCTTACGCTTCGATCAGCTCATTTCTACGCTAAGTGTCGCGCTCAGATTGCATTGTGTCACACGTAGCATCGCGTAGCGCTGCATCGCATTTTGCGATACGTTTCACTGTGTACAAACACTTCGCGATCGTGTCACGACTGCAGAATGGAAGGAAAACGATGAAGATAAACAAAGAGGCGTACACGAGTATTAAATGACGAATGTGTCGAAAACAGGCTTTTTACATACCTCCATATGCATCCGTGACCGCTGCAACGAGCAACGACGACGCGGAGTTCTCGGTCCTCTCTTTATCTTGCGAGTTCGGAGCACCAACTGAGCGGATTACGGCTGCTTCGTCTTCGCACAGTGCCACAAACAACGACGGCGATAGCGACAGTTCGTTTTGATCATTACTGACACGAAATACTATGCTCACATCCAGCGAACGCCGTACTGCTGATCGACTTCGCGTCGTTCGATTTATTTCGGTTCGTTCACAGGCAGAATCGCATACAATAACCCGCGCGCACGCGCCAAGCAATACGTCCCAGTTTCGGACATTGCCAATAGAGCGCGCGAATGTACAAAATGTCGAACGCAAAATGTACGCAGGTCAAAAGATACTATATATATATATATATACATATATTTATATCATACAACTAAATGATTACATGCGTTACATGCGTTACATGCGTTACATGCGTTACATGCACGCCACATACATGTGCACGCATTGTAAATATATGTAATATAATTAGAATTGATTAGGGGATGAGCTATGGTTTTGAGCAGGGGCATCAGAATAAGAAAACGTCAAAGATGCTCCGCGAAGGTGTTTCTGGTGCCTCATATATAAGACACAATAGACTAAAAAAAGTAAATTTTTTAATTATATGCATAAAAAAGGAGCGCTTTCTTTTGCTTTTTGTGTAAAAGGAGTGTCAGAGACGCCTTTTGTAGATGTGTAAAAGATATTCTTTTATGTGTGTGTGTGTGTGTGTGTATGAATAGAATTAATGGAAAAAATTTTTAATTTAATCTATTAGAAGAAACCTATAAATACCTAAAGGTATAGTACTTGAAATATAATACCATTTTTTCTTCTTTTTTTCACCTTTCTGCATCTTCTTCTTGCTGCCTCCTGCGAGTCTTCTTCATCTTCATTTAAATAATTCTGTATTTCTTTTATTCAATTGACAAATAATATTTTTATATCCCAGCAGCATTGTATTAAGCTATTTTAACCTAAAGTAATTCAAATTAACTATTTTATTTATTTTTTATTTAACTTTATTTATAAAAAAAATAACGAAAGTAATAATCTTCGTGTAACTCAATTAAAATAAAAATACATTCTACAAATTAAACTTGAGGAAGAGAGAAAGAGAGAGAATGGGAAAGGGAGGGAGGGGAAGAGGAGTGGATAGAGAGAGGGGAGAGAGGAAGGGAGAGGGAGCTATATGCATATTATATAAAAATGACCTACGTAAAGCTTAACAGCTTAATATCCTACGAAATTGATTGCGTAGTTTTCGGGATATTAAGCTCTTAAGCTTTACGTGGATTATTTTGTATATTATATAGGATGAGACAATGACTCTTAAATATCTTAAAAATTATTAGCAATATCGAAAAACAAACAAAAATTGAATAATTTTGAGCGAGACGTAACTTGATTTCAATAGTTTTATTATAGATGGAGGTTTGATAAAAATATGAGTTTTCGATACAAACATCCTGATATAATTTGATAGAGAATAAAGAGCTATGCATCAACTAATGCATTAAAAATTATATAGTCTCATTACAAAAAAAGAAGAGTTAACCTTTATATCTCTTTTAAACCTCCACTTATAATACAATTATTGGCACCATATTACATCCCCTTCGAAATCATTCAACTTTTGTTTGACACCTTTTTCAATATCAGCAATAATTTTAAAAATATCCAAGGTAATACAATAGTTATTGCCTGACCTTGTCAAATATATGTATGTATACATATATTATAGCATATTATATGCATACACATGCATACACATACATACACATATATATATATATATATATATATAACTTTATACAGTCAACATCTCTATTTTCATTGAAAAGATTTGCCATTGGTAAAAATTTGCGTATAGAGCCTTGTGATAATAGTAACTCAATTTTCGGAAAAAAGCTACTATTATCAAAAGATTCTATACTCAAATTTTTACCAATGGTAAATGTTTTCAATAGAGATGTTGACTGTATAAAGTTAAGTCACAATGGTGATAACATATTCACCAGGTAAACAGTATTAAGTCACATTAACATCATATTTTTTTGAGATTCCGTAATCATACAATTTTATTTTCTGAAACATATCGAAGTTTGATATTATATCTGCAAATACAAAAACATCTGCAAAACATTATAAGTATCTTACAGAGAGCATATCAAAAGCGAAAAATCTCTTTAGATCCTTCTCCTAAAAATTAAAAATTGAAATATAGAGTCTTGTGATAATAATAATTCAATTTAAAACAAATGTGACTTAATATAGTATACCTCTGAAGTGTTCATATATATACGCGCGTGTAATATCCATATAGCTCACTTTACACTATAAATAAAAGAAGAATATACGAATTACCGTCATCAATTTGCTAATTGTGTAAACATTGCCAAAGAAATAAGCAAATATTATACAATTTATGGGATATTTACTTACACAACTATATAATATTGATGTTTTTTTTATATCTTAAATTATTTAATAAATTGCCACAATTTAAAAAGAAAATTTTTAAGTCAAAAAACTTAAAAATTTACCGTATTTTTTGTTCTAATGTCACCACAGACGTCATAGAGAAAAATAAAAAAAGAACTGGTATGGACAAAACTCGCAACAAGTTAGTTTGCAATTTTTTCATATATGAATACTTTAGCAATGTTCTACGTTGTTTTAAAAAAAAGGATAGATACGTATTAAAACTATGTAGGAAACTTTTATTCGTATTTTTCCCGATTTTTCAACTATTCTATTAGTTAATACATTCTTATTTGACAAAAATTAAATTTGCATTTTACTAGTAAAGCCCACTAAGCAATCTCACGTATCTGCATCAGCACAAGGTGTACTTTGTCATCACGGAGAAAATGTTTCACTCAAAGAAAATAAATAAGCGTGTGGGGAAGCTTCTGCGATCCTAAACTCCGCATACGAAAAGATTGTAACTTCAATAACTTTTGCGATGTTTTCTCAGAAATATTTATCTTGATATTAAATTAATATATGTATATACAAGTTAGCTTCCAAAATAATCTCCCACGCAAAAGAAACCAATATATACATATATTAGTTTTGCTTTTTATGTATGTGTGTGTATAATATACCGATACGAATTGTGTTAATTCGTCACAAAAAAACATTTACATCCATTTATTGATATTTGGATCTTATAAAACCGGGATTCTTACGTATGTCTAGAATTTTACAAGCGATTTGCTCGTATTGTTCAACGTAAAAATATAAATCGCGCGGGGCTAAAATGCTATCTTGTATAGATCTAAGTTTTAAAAATGCTTTAGAAATGCGCAATATCTGCCACCCTCTTTCTCTTCGAAGAAGAAATAAAATCGTTTACAGAATTTTCCCCTTCAATACCCTTCATACATCAATAATTTCTTCTCAACTACCATCGCACAAATATATTGAAAAGGATAACAACAAAACATCGATACACGGCGAACTTATTTTTTTCTTTCATGATTTATTCAATATGTATTTTCTTATAAAGTGATATCCTACTAAATAAAAGTAAATGAAAAAGTCACCAAACAATAATTAATATGTTCATTAAAATTCTTCTTCTTATTAAGGCAACTAATTTGTTTATCTTGTTTTACATATCTAGAGTATATATATTTATATTTATATTTATATTTTTATATTTGTATATTTATAAAGTATATGTAAAACATTAATATATGGTTATTTTTATTTTCTTGTTACAAGCCTTATATTAATTAGAATATGTATACTCTGTATATTCTTATATACTCTTGTAATAAAATCGGTTATTCCGTACTTGATTCTAGATATAATAAATATAAGTCTAATGTATATTGTTAGTACAAGAGAAGTGCATGTAGAGGGTGGCAGCGGGATGCGCATTTGGGAGTGCTATTGTTTCAAGGAATCTCCAGTCCCTCTTCTTTATACCGTCTCACATGGTGACATTTAACTGTATTGCTTTAGAGTCCACAGAACATGCTTGCTGCTGTTGCGTTTGCTGCTGCTGCTGCTGCTGTTGCTGCTGCTGTACCTGTTGTTGTACTTGCTGTTGTATTGCCTGCAGCTGAATTGTTTTCGTATCGACGGTACATGTTTGCTGCTGTTGTTGCGGTTGCTGCTGCTGTTGCTGTACTTGTTGCTGTTGCACTTGCTGTTGTTGAACCTGCTGCTGCTGCTGTGCTTGCTGCTGCTGCTGCGCTTGCTGTTGCTGCTGCGCTTGCTGCTGTTGTGCTTGTTGAGCAGCAGCTTGAGCAGCTTGTCTCTGCTGTTGTCTAAGTATACTGGGTGGCGGATCCATATGCTGACGCTGATGTAATAACAAATGATTTTTTTGGAAGAAAGCCTTGCCACATTTATCACATACGTGGGATCTTATGTGGCAACTGCCGTCGGTGTGGCGTCGTTGATGTTGCGACAAGCCGTGCTTTTGTGCAAAGCCACGACCGCAGTCCGGACAAATATGTGGCTTAGGTTTTGGTCCTGCGCCCACAGGCGGCGATGTTTGCGTCGCCCCGTGCATATGACTGACACCAGGCGTTCCTATTGGCCCGTTCATCTGTAAACATTTCATTTATAATTTACGTATTTCACACTTTGGTCATATGTTACCGCTTTCATTCAATGATGACGTGTTTTTAAATAGCAAGATTTAACGCTATTTTGGTATAATTCATGCAGAGAATAATAAATTCTCTAATTAATGAAACACTGAGATAATGAAATTGATAAATATTAACATCAAGTATTAACATAAAGTAAAAAAAATATATAATAACTTTTAATTTTACAAACCATATTTTTATTAAAGAAATAAAGCTTAAATTGAAGTAGTATCCCCAAATTTCAGAATTAAAGAAAATCTTAGTATTTAATTGTACACAATAGCAACATGGTATTACTTGATGAGTTCCTGGAGTATTCGGAGTTAGAAAATGTGCTGGAGTTTGTTGGAAAGCAGCAGCTAGTCCACAAAGGTCTGTCACTAATGTTCGATCACCGGTATGTAACCTCTGATGTAAATTTAGAGCTTCTCTATTTGTAAAGTCCAATCCACATTCCCTAAAATAATAATTATTCATCTTAAAAGAGATTAAGCCTATTTCTAATAATATCGATAAATTTTAAAATGTATCAATGAATAAAAATAACATCTATTCAAATCATATACTTATTAACTTGCCCTGTCATTCTAAATACAGATTTTAGAAGACAGAAACTTTCATTTTTTTATTAGGCTGTTAGATGTAAAAATTTTTAGGAAAATGTTGCATTTTTTCTAAATTAACAACTTTATACAAGGAGGATTTAATTCAATTTTAGTTTTATATGCACTATAAGTTTTTGTATAAGCATCATCTACTAATAATTAGTAATATTTTGAAATTTTGTGTTTACTTTAACAGCTAAGTAAATGTAAAGTTTCAAAATGCCATTAATTATCAGTGAATGCTTAAAAAAATAAAAAAAATTAATCCTGTTATTTTTTTAGACATACTGTTATTTTGAATTCTATATGCATAATATGATATCGACGATCACTTTATATTATGTTCTTAAGTATCATTATAATTAGTATTAAATAGATGTAAATAGATTCTATTCGAGAATCAGCTTGAGATAAATTAGTACAATTATGGTACGTATGATGTTTTACCTGCAAGTAAGAGACTTCTCATCGGTATTTGCATTGTTATTGTGATTCTTCGAATGAGCCACCAGATCTGCTTTCCGTGGAAACGCTTCTCCGCAGACGGTGCAAGCAAAGGGCGTTTCGCCGGTATGTAATCGCATATGAGCTAAAAGTGTTCTCTTCTGCAGAAATTCCTTTCCACAGACAGTACACGAATGTGGAACTCTGCCATGTAGCCGGCCGTGATTAACTAGCTCAAACTTTCTCTGGAAAGTCGCGCCACAATCGTGGCAAACAAATGGATGTAAACTGCCATGGAAGCGCGAATGCATCGTAAGATGATCCTTTTGTGAAAAAGACTCCCCGCACTCCTCGCAAACGTAAGGTCTTTCTCCCGAATGGAACTTACTATGCGTCACCAAGTGACGTTTCAGGGGGAATGCTCTTCCGCATTCTTGACAGACAAACGGCCGTTCTCGCGTATGCACGCGAGTATGCGTTACAAGATGATGCTTCAGTGTGAAGGACTTTTTACATTCGCGACATTGGTATGGTCTCTCGGCGCTATGTAGCAGCAGATGTGTATGAAGACAATGTTTGTGTGCAAAACTTTTGCCACAGTGAACGCAAATATGCGGTCGTTCTCCGGTATGTACTCTCGCGTGTGTCGTCAAGTGATGCTTCAGAAGAAAAGATTTCCCACACTCCCCACAAGAGTACGGTCGTTCTTTCGGCACACGGACCTGGCTCCCCATATCCTGTTGCTGCTTGACTTTTGTTTCGATTTGTGTCGTATTCACATGGGTCAAAACATGTCCAAAGTGAGCAGTACTGTCCGTCTGACTCGTCGCTACATTATTCGCTGCATTGGCTTGATTGGACGCTGCAGCTGCTCTCTTCATTAAAATTTCATTGCACTCTTCTGCTGTAAGCTGCAACGGTCCAAGTGGTGTCATAAAGTGTTTACTCATGGCATGTTTATCAGCTGTTGTAAAAACTAATGTGTTTGAGAATAAGGAAGGTGGTGGTGTGGGATGTGCTGCATCGCAATTACACCCTCCTTTGTCACAAGTTAATGAAAATACATCGTGATGCTTTTTAGTACGAACATGAGTGCCATGGGTTGTTTGATTATGTGCTCCACCAGTATGGCCATGGTGTGTAGTGGGTGTTTGCTGACAACTTTCATTCATCGCAAACATTGGACGACGGTGAGTAGTGGCGACAACCTTGGTTGGCTTAATATCAACTTGTATCTTTTGACTGGATCCTTGATCTTGATTATTGTTAACGGCATAACTGATATTTGTTGCAAGTTCATTCTGCGCATTCTCTCGGGTCTCTGTCCCTGGTCCTCCAAAGGACCAAGCATACCCGAATCCTGCGCCCGCATTGCCAGGAGTGGTACACATATTTGTGAGATTTGCGATGGATGGGTTGGTCTGACTGGATGCGGTACTGTCAGGTTCCTCTGTGTCTGTCAACGCATTTTCCACATCAACCTTTTCCACTACAACAAATTGATCCGTAGGAAATATTTTGAGAGGTTCCAAATAAACGTACCCGTTACGCTCCAGTATCTCGGCCTTGGATGTAAGAGTCAGTTGTCATATCTAAACCAGGAACGGTCCTTGGAGCAAACTTGATATTTGCAAGTTTTGAACTACACAAAACGGTGCTGCAAAGTGGTTATATCTTGTTAATGATGATAAGAACGTGCAACGTGCTCCCGAGGCGCTTTCACTGATCTTGGGATTGCGATGCGAGCCCCGGGAGATGAGTTGAGACGAGGCTAAGTGAGACGAGGCCAACGGAGCGTCGAAAATATTCGGACCAAGCGATGAGATTTCTGTCGTTCTCTGTCGACAAAATGTTTTCGTAAATCTGAGAGTCGTTTTCGTATTGTTGCCGCGCCACTGTGCACCAATAGAAAAAAAACACGCCGTTTGGCTAGACAGTTTTTCTATGTGTTGGAGACCATAAGTGACTCCTCGTTTCGGTCTTCAGGGCTCCGCGGCGTCCACGGACTTCAAAGACAACCTCCACCTTCCTCTGATGACACTCCCACACGCTCACTCACACTCCGCTTGCTTTTACCGCGTTTTGCGCTCTCGGGACTTGATTCTGGTTTAGACGCGCGTACAGCCAACGGTCATTAATTTTACATAATTGCATATTTTATTGTCTATACAAACTAGCCTCACATATCGGCCATTTTATTTGTAAACTACCAAAAAACAATGTTGCCAATGTACGCGCACTTTTGGAGGGAGCGGACCTGCCGATAGCGTCGCCAAGCGACTTCCATGATGGCAGCACTTTTCTCCGTTGCCGACGGCACAGGACGTGAGGCTACGGCCGGTACTTTTTCCGCCATAAATTCAAATGTGCTGAATTCGTATGTCAAAGACTAACTTCAAATTTAGCGTTTCCATTGCGTTATTTTATTTACATTTTCTGCTATAACGTTGTATTTACTTTCAATTATTCATCTTTCTGCTCAAATAACTTTTATGCATGTAATCAAGAAATATAATAATGGAGCTTACGAGCCGTCGCAGGATGTTAGTGCTAAATTTTGAATTTTTTCTTTAAAGAAATTAATAAATTAGTCTACATGAGACAGTTAAATTGTACACCGATCTCAGATTGAGATACTTAAAGTGTACGAAAATTCACGTACATTGTTCTCATATATAGAGAAACATATAGGAATTATTGGAAAGAAAGGCAGAGAGAAAAAAACTATCGGGGCGCGAGTGGCTAAGCCGGGAATTGAATCCGGGTCTTCCGCTTGTCGGGCGAAAGTTCTGACCACTAAACTACTCAGACATGATATTTTTTCTACTCTTTTAACTGATTTTTAACTGTCTCATGTAAACTAATTTATTAATTTCTTTAAAGAAAAAATTAAAAATTTAGCACTAACATCCTGCGACGGCTCGTAAGCTCCATTATTATATTTCTTGATTATTATCATATAAGCCTTTCCATTATAAGTGTTTTATGCATGTATTCATTCATTTATTTTCTGTATTTTTCTTATTAATAATTTTTAAAAAATATTATGGCAAAAAATAAGAAAACTTCTTAACAGCACATTAAGAAAATAAAATTAAAATCAATCCAAAATAATTGCACAATTTATCGAATTTAAATCATATAAAATTATTTGTAAAAAATAAAAATTGGTTTTTTATGAGTAACGTATTTTTTATTTATATGCCTTGATAGTCGTTGTTAGTTTAAAGAGTTTAATAAAATAGTTTCATAAAATAAACCAATAAAAAATATTTTTTATAATACATTATTTTTATTTTTTTTTTAAATGCGGTAATTAAAAAAATAAAAATAGTTGAAAAAAAAATTCAATTATTAGAGTAGCTCGGCAGTATAATATGAGGTGTTCATGAATAACGTTGATAGAATGCGAAGGGACACACGATCGATGGGCAACCAATATCGAAGATATATGTCAGCGTTAGATCAATAGACGGCGGTGTTACATCGATCGTTTTCATCATTTACAGGCAGTATGTGACGAGTTATGAGACGTAGAGGGATCTCTAAGTGATACAAGGATAGAAACAGCTCTATCGGACGGCTGGTCATCGGTGGTGCGGTAACGCAAACTCAGCAACTGATAAGCAAGCCCGCTCGTTAATGGTCTGGACATCGCAGTTTGGCAAAAAGCCAATGTATGCTGTTAGAACGAGAATCTCATAGTTAAGAATAAGAGGGAGAAGATGATATAAACTTAAAGTTTGTTGATTTTTCCTATGTCTATGTCTACACAAAAGTGTGATGAGTAATTTTTTTATAAGCTAAATTCCTGCTCATCTTTCAATAAAATTAATCCTTAAAGGATCTTACGATGTTATAATATCTTAAAACCAGTTTCATAATTTCATCAGTTTTTAAAGACAAGCGTTATACATTGAATATATGTTGAATTGTTCAGAAAATTTTCTAATTTTTCAGATTTTATCTTTAAAAGGAAACTTAAAAAACTTTTCGGACTATTCAATAGATTATTTCCTAGAACGATAATATCTTCACGATTTAAAAATATCTTGTAATCCTTTAAAAGTTAAAAAATTTAGAAATAAATTAAAATTTTTTCGAAAATTGGTCAATTTTGTAATTTTTCCTTCACACGCAGATAGGTCTTTGTAATTATAAAAATATTTATATCTACACACAATGTATGAGAGCGTTCAAATTTAGACACGTTATATTCTGATGTTTTTTTTAATTACTATTGTAATATTATTATTGCAATTATTCTAATAATTTAATAATTAATTTACCATGTTTCTACAGTACGGCGAAAGACGTACGGACAATTGTGTTTATTTCTAGCGAATTGAAAAATGCATAGCCACTTAAAGTCTTTGTATATAACAGCAAAGTGCGACCGGCAGATGCGTTATTTATGTAGCGGTTTGCTAAGTACATTTCGTTGTGCGATAGTTTCGATTCTGACGATCGAGGGGGCTACGGATCGTCGACGAGGGGTGGTAGTATTTTCTGTATTCTCTCTTTTTACAAGAAAGAGCCAGCTCAGAGAAGCGGGGGTAGAAACCCGAATCCTGAGGCAGTGGACCGTGAATGCGATATCAGCTTCACGTAGTGCGTCAGTACGGGGAACGAGAAGGGGGACGGGGGTGGAAGGGCGATGGGGGAGGGGGACGAGGGAAGGTGCCGTCAAACAACCGTTCGTCGATCGTCCCTTCTCGGTATACTCCCGGTACCTATACCCTGCTTTCGTCCTCCTCGCGTCAGCAGCAGAGTGATTTGTACGTATCAATTATGTCTTTCCGCTACCGAGGGATCATTCATTGATGGTATCGTTATTTTCCCCGATATTACGATCCAATGATTTTGATATTCGGATTTTGTTTATCGAAATTATTATATATTTGCAATGCAGATTGCGAGCCTAAAAATAAACATCACAACGTGCACTACTACTATGCAATTATTTTATAATATAAACGAAGCATGTGTAGAAATGTGATTTTGTATTTCATTTAATAATATAATACTTCTAAGTTTTGTAAGTTAAAACTGACAATAAGTGGGCATTCAATTTTCAGACAAAGTAATTAACAAATGTGCAATTAAACGCTTATTATAAATTGTTGTTAAAAAAAAATAGATTACGAATTTATTAAGAAAATTTATTGTTTGCTAAAGAATGTATATAAACTATTTAATAAAAAAAATGTATTATTAATAAATAAATATATGTGAAACTTATGATATGCCTGATATGAGGAATTCCACCGAAATTTAATATATAAATTATTTCAGGATAAAATAGAATGCATTAGATGCTACATATGCTTTCATATTTAAAGTGAAATACTTCTAATATTGTATTATATGTTAAAAATATATTAGTACATATATTTTTAATATTACATCATAAATATTTTATCAAAATGTAGTAATTGTTTCTTAGAAACAGATTATTCAGGAATGTTAATGTTGACATCTTTTTTAATTAAATGATTCTTTAGTGAAGATAAAAGCGGATTCAAAATCCATAAAATACATAGAATTTATAAGAATTAATCTGTTGAAAGAACAAAGATTTTGATGAAAAACGATAGTGAAAGACGATAGTTATAAGAGCGATTCTGAAAAATAAATTCTTGAATTATCAGATGTGAAAAAACTAATATTTATATATTACATTATAAACTAAATTACTTTAAAATTACTTTAAAAATAAAAACAATCCAATTGTTATTATATAAGAAAAAAGAAATAAATTTGTAAACTTTATTGCCAGACTACGCGTATGCGGCGCGCGCGTATGTGTGTGTGTGTAAGTGCAGGGTAATTCATTATAATCTATAAATAGATTTATTTCTAAAAGTATAGCAAACTAGAAAAGTAGCATGAGGGTAAAATTGTTCGGAGGGAAACATTAGATACTGCATGCGTTTGTTTTAAGAATAAAGGCGTTTCGGAAAACAACTCGGTTTTTTAAATTAAAACTATACATTTTATTTTATCAATTCTTCTTATCATTCTGCACATAAAGGTATTAATAAATAAGATACTTGAAAAGTAAATAGTTTAGGAAATATTCCTATTTTTTATAGCGTGCCATATATGTACATAATTGTAGAATGTAGTTTTGCAAAAAATTCAGATAAACAAGAATATATTTGAAAATTTATAATATATTTTTCTAAACATGTTTTTCATTGCATAAATATATTTTACAGACCTGCTCGAAGATCGTATTACAGGCGTAATTAAAATCACATTACGATTGTACTCTCGAGAGTACTTTAATAATATATACACATCATGCGCTGACTCGTTTAAAAATTTATTTGCTTGGAGGATTGGATATGCTTTTTCTATTCTCGAGAGGGAACGCGACATTGATTCCTTTGATCTGGCAAACTTTTAAGCTTTTGAAAGTAGCGAGTGCACATGATAGATAGTTATGATAATAATAATTTGATTTTCGGTCTCTAGTGTCCGGGCTTCTTTGTGCTCGCGCACGCTGCTTACCAACACGCATTTATCAGCTACTGATTCACGTGTATACGAACATACACGGCCACGTAAAGCTGACGACTCTCAGGGTCGATTGTGGACAATATGAACGGATGGAGTAGCTTCGAAATCGATCGAGAGTTAATCCGGCGCTATCGCGTCTTGCAACTGTTGCCTCATTGTCTCATCGCAAACCAAAATGAAAGGACGGCAAGGAGAGAGAGAGAGAGAGAGAGAGGGATAGATAGATAGATAGTTAGGGAGAGAGAGATGTGGATAAATTGCAAGACGATCGACTTTTCTCTTCCTTTCCCATTCTTTAGGGATTCATGACATTTCTTCGAAAATTGTCACGCCTATTTGTCTTTCTCTTCTATTATCTTAACAGGCTCTATAGAATTAGAATTTCTCATTACAACGCTTTCTTTAGCGCTTGCTTTATTTTCTTCTAAGAAATAAAGAATTAAAATAAAAATATTTTCCCGCAAATAAATAATAATTGATGTTCACCATTTTATAGTAATTATCCAACTTCGAGAATCAACCGCGTCCATCGCAACGTATCGTTTGACACAAACTACGTCGCCCTTCCAACGCCACGACCACTTGTGGTTTTAACTACTTTCGACGGATCCCTTCTAGGGTCGAGTGGCAAGTGTGGCGAGAATTATGTAATTATTACACAGCTATTGTCGCGAAAAACGGCGACAGCCTCAATGCCTGTAAGTGTCTCGACGAAAGCACCCGAAAAAAGGGGTCAGGGCTCAACGACTTACGAGACTTCCTTACAAGGGCATAGATCGGTTTAAGGTTCCGTCTATATGCATTTTTAAAACTTCAGTATCAGTTGATTATTGTCACACTCTTTTATTAAACAATTTTATATTGTATTAAAGTTACATTTATATTACAGTGTATTATTATTGTATCATAATTAATATTTTACATTATTAATTAATTACTATAATATCTACTACTATTCGATTAATAATTATCACTAAACATCTCTTCAAGAACTTACAAAAAAAAAGTAATGAGATTTAATTCTTGCAATTTGAGCGAAATTATTTTTGAATAGGATTTTTTATTAAGATCAAAAGAGCGAAAGTTTATCGTACCGTTTACACACTACTTGTTTAAATTGTTGCAATCAAAATTATATCCAAAGTTGTAGTCATATTTAGCAGATCAGGCAAAGGTTATCCGAATTCCAAAGATCACTCTTGCTAAAACATCTTGCTAATCATTTACTAAAATGATAAACATATATACAGGATGTCTCCGACCGATTATATTCGAGATGGAAAGCAAATACGATTGGTATTATCTAACTCACTGCCAGATTCGTAACAGCAATTAGCGAGGAAGCGTTCAAACGATACTATCCAACAGGAGGTCGAAGGAAGCTGTTCGGCGTTTGACATTAAGATAACAGAGATAAATTTGGTCCAAGCTTGCTTTACTATTTGCAAGATCGTGCATATAAAGACCGTAGCTCGTTCGTGAGCTCTGAAAGCCGAACAATCGCATGCGTCAAGGAATTCTCATTCACGAATCCTCTTCTCCTCTCGCCTCGCCATTCGCCATAGTCCTTTTCTTTTCTTACACCTACGACTCCTTCACGCTATAGAATCGTTCTGTACCTTTTCGTCCTTTCCCGAGTCATAACATAGACTACAATAGATGAAAATCGCCACTATCTTTTCTCTGCTACTTGACCGCTCTATTCTGACCGCCACAATTTTACACACGTAAAATCGAATAGATTCACAAAGTCATCAATCTCCTCAATTAAACATTTGTTAGAGTGTAAGTTTCCATCTTCCTAAAGTTTTATAAGCGCTATTGAATATTAAATTTTCTTATCTGTAAATCTTATATTTTTGCTCAACTATTAAACTATTTTCTATACGTTTAAAATTTATTTTATAAAATATACTCATTATTTATTTCTTCATATATAAATTTATAACTTTGCTACGTATTACAATATTCTACAATATATTGTTTTCAACTTTTACTATTGTTTTAAACTATTTTGTATGCACGCGTTTCGAATTTATTCATCATTATTATTTCTTCGAAGTAATTATTCGGTACTCAACCTTTCGTATACAAATTTGTAATTATTATTATTCAGTATGCGTATTTGAAAACATATTGCAGTAAAGATAAAAAAATTAATATTTGGTTTCTTTCTGGACAATTGCGTCCAGTCATACACAACGTATTTCAAGAAGTTTACTAGAATAAAAAATAAAAGTGAAACGTTCGTGAAAAATATTTGTGCATATGTATAATTACATGCAAAATCGTTCATATGATATGTAAGAATGAAGATTTATCATACATTCTGCGCAAAGAACGACCTTTGGCCACACGCCAATCGCGGTAAACGATGTTTTAGAATTCGCAGCCAATGACGACAACCGCGTTTGTCACACGGTTTTGCATAATTTATTATTGTCGAACAATTCACTGCCAATGTGTAATGCTATTTCGCACGATGGTTATAAGGGAATAAGAAAGTAATATAAAAATTATATCAAGTTTAAAATTGCATTCGTTGCATTATCCGTCATGCATGGTTTTCAAACAAAATAGTTCTAAATTGCACAATTTTTTTATCAATTTGTTGAACGTTACGTCTGAGTTCAGAAGTTTTGTTACTTATTATAATTGCTTAAAATTTGATAAAAGTATTTTCGATCACTTGTGCATAAAAAAACTGGTAAAGTATCGATAATATTGTTAAAATAAAATAAGATTTAAAAAGCAGAGAAGGAATATGCCTGCAAAATTTACCGAGAGACTTATTCTTCAGTCATCCTATTTATTCTGATTACAAAGTTGTTTGTTGATAAGTATGAGGAAGGTCACAACTCTTATCTTCATATTATGTCACAGTGCATTTTTTGCAATTCACCGCGCATGGTTACAGCGAAATCACGTATATCGATGACCGCCGAAGGTGCAGTGACGCGCGGTGATGGATGCATCAGCGGGACCAGAGCACCAGCAATTTACCACAGTCGTTTGAAGGCCGAAAGAAATCGACGATGCGACCACACAGCTTGGACCGCGCCGAAGAGAGGAAGGAAGCACCAACAAAAGAAGAAGAGGGAAGAAGAAAACCATGCGAAGATTAGATCCTTCTAGGATGAGTAGGTGGGATTGGATTTGGCAGGCGCGCGGCTCGTTGGCGGTGGATGCCGGTGATGCGAAGGAGTAGGACAAGAAGGGGCCAGGGGGTGGAGTTTAGTTGGTTGGTGTCCGAACAGATCGGAGGGGAGCAGAAGGGAGAAACTCGGAGTAGGGTAGAGAGTATAGGGAGAATGCACACGCGACACGTAGAGCAGTGCAGGACGGAGAAAGTGGAGAAGAGACGAGAAAGCGAAGAGACGGAACGTAAGTGATAGAACGCTGATGGTGTATAGGTGAACTGCGGACAACCGAACCACCCGAACTCGGATGCCCGACGGTATTTAAGGGAGAGCCACGAGTGTAGCGCGCCAGTTGTTCGCACAGTCGGTCGGCGGTTAGCTTTATGAACTGATACCCGCTGGACCATCACGCGGTCGCGTGGCACCAAATGTATAATGTGCGCGAATAAATAAACTCGATATAAAGTCATCTCAACAGACAATTTAAATAAATAATCTCAATCAACAATCTTACAAAGTTAAGAAGTTTCAGACTAGGACTTGATGAAACGCGTGAAGTGTATTAGACGACCGCGTAATCATTTATTGCTCACCGATTCATCTTATGAACTGTCATAATATCTAAAATTGTAAAAAAACACGAAAGTGAGCGCACAAGTGCTAAGTTAAGTGAATATATATGAAGGATTATGAGGTTTTTCCCCAAAGCAACAACGGCGTTATGTAAAAGTACACACATATGGCATTGCTTAAATTCTTCATACTTGAAGATCGAAAAAATTCGATATCTTTGAATCTCGGACGATACAGATGAGTGTTTTAAAGAGGTACGTTTATATATATATTATCAAATTAATTTAAAAAATTTTTAATATGTATACTTTTTTAGTTCAAATTTTTTAAATTAATTTTTATAATATTTGTTTTGTATGATAATAAAATACAATGAAAAAATAAAACAGTCAAAATTTAATTGCACGAAAAACAGACTTGTTTAATTTTATAATAATTATAAAAAAACATCAAATGTGATGTATAATACTTTCGTTTAGCATTTCTATGAATAAATATACAATTCTGTTGTATTAACATTTTCAATTCTATTCAGCTTATCTTATTGGATTTTAAAGTTCTTTGAAAAGATTTAAAAAGATTTACTTAAAACTTTATTTAATGATAAAATGTGTAAATTATAGAAAAGTTGAATGATAATTACACTTTTAATTAAAAATATTGGCTCACAATTAAAAAAAATTACTAGTTAATAAAATAAAAAGCTTCAATAACTTTTCTAGATTTAAAGATACAATTCGTAAAATAAGAATTATTTTTTAAGTTTTCAAAGATAATCTTTTCAGTCATATTTTTTTAGTGGAAGTACATATTTTTATGTACTCTCGCACTTTACGGCTAGCGCCAAAACTCTCTTATTCTGCACCAAAATTTAATTTATAAAATTTCTTTCAGTATTATATCTGTTCTTTAAAGTTATTTAAAAAATAAGAGTTATTAATATTTATATTTAAATCTAGGAGGAATTATTCAGTCCATAGTATAGCAGTTACTTCGTATATTAATCATTAAAGCATTTATGAATACAAAATCTCGCAATAAAAAAAGTTTGAGATATGCTATATGTATGCAGGTACCATTTTGTAACTTCGTCGTAAGTTTAAGATGTGATTGCTAAAAAGTTTTTTAAGCTTTATGAAAATTTGATTTTAGAATATTATTATATTCTGTAAATTAATTTAGTTTTGTGTAATGGATTAAATTAAAAATTATAAATCTCATAATTATTGAATTACAAATTATTATCTAACTTATAATAGTTTTTTTAATTGCATTAATGTATTTTTACAAATATTTTTAATTTATTTTATGTTGTTCGTAATTGCATTACCTTTATTACAATTCGTATATTCAACATTATAATATTGTATTTTTTAATGTCAATTCAATTACTGAAAGATTTAAAAAATGTAATTGTTGTAAGCAATTTTTATCATTTTTACACTATTGTATATCACATTTCAAATAACTTTTTTTTCAAAGAAACTTAATCGTGCTTAATTGTCATAAAAGATTGTGGGATTGTATTTTCAATAAATCCATTTAAAAATATTGATCCTTTTGTCAAATTTTTAAGTTATGTAAACACTCTCAAAAATTTGCGTTATTGTACGTATATGGTAAATATATCTTTCGATTTCTGTGCACTTTAATCAATTTATTAGAAATTTACAGCTAAACGAATTGCAATACTTCTGATAAAAAAAGAACTTGTAATCATTTGCTGTAATTTAAAAATAATATTTAAAATTATTTCGATTCTTTACAGAAAAAAATAATACAAGCACATGTTATATCATTACAATTGTTGTACAACTTTGTATAAAAAAACTGTCTTATATACGAAAAATAAGTGACAAGAAAACAATTATTTTGTAGAATTATAAAGGGAGTCCAAATAATGATCTTGAAAGAAACGAGAAACAAGAAATGAATAGTAAAAAAAAAGCTATTATCGAGTGAACTATAAACGTTTCTTTTACAATCTTACAAACATATTTCGGTATTATTCTTTTATATATCCACCATTAGCATAAATTTGAAAAGTGTTATAACAGATACCTTTTTGGATAGGTATCCGATGCTATTGCTGGCATTGGAGTTGATTCTCGCACAATCGTCCGTTGGAACTTTACGACAAGAAGGTACATATTTTGCACGATCCAATGTTTTGTCAGAACTCACCGGGACGTCTTCCAGTCGTAGTGTTTCGGTCATCAGGATCTTGTCTGATGGACGATCGGAACGGATTGTTCAGTGGCCCGGAGCTTGTGCCAAAGAGACCGTCGTCGATTGGGGGTGGGCATATCTGCTTTTATGTCCTAATAAAATTGCAGCTCTAGAATGCAAAATTAGAATCAAAATCCAATTTTCATAAGTCAAAAATGTAAAAAGTTTTTTTGTCCCCTTGCATAATATCAAACTCATTCACTATCATCCCCATCTAATAATATTTAAATGCTTTCTTTGTCTAAATTTGTGTCAAGTGTTTTTTATAGTAACAGCTACAAAGGCTGGAGTATAGCGATCACTGTGTGTGTGTGTTGTTCTCTTTCCTGAAATAATATTTTCTCGGATATAGACAAATCTCTTTTTCCCACCTATCGTCCCCGCTGTCTACTGGAAGGAGGATTGAAGCGGGAACTCGGTTGAAAACAATGCCGCCTTTCACTATTGCCAATATGCGTGGAAGTTTGACTGTTATGTATACATTTAGCATCGGTTAGGTCTTTCAAATGCCATCCATCGTTCCGAAGAACGCTGATACAGACTAGTGGAACGGTCTCTCTGTGAAACCTTGTCAGCTGTATACCAAGTCTCAATATAACTACAATGCCGTGTCGGTGTCCGTAGAATGAGGATCGATGCTCATATTTAGAAATGGATAAATTTCGCATTCTGCTTCTTGTTCGTTATGAGATTATAAAAAGAATTCATTTTCTAATCATTATTTTGCAATCGATAAGGCACATGTATTATGTTAATAATTATTTGCCAATATAGATCAGCGAACATATTTATAACGTAACATTATTTTAACGTGGAATTAAATTAATCTATACGACAAATTTAACTTTATGCAACAATACTTCCCTAATTTTTTTACATAATAAAATTACTTAAAAAGTTATATAAAGAAAGGCGCTGTGCCTTATAAAAAAATTGTGCTGTTGCATAAAAAATGTAATAATTAATAAATAATATTTAATTAAAATATTACCATTTGATAAAAATGCAATAAAGAGAACAAAATTATACTACAAAAATGCATGAAATTGGGAAACGATTTAATTGAATGGAATACATATGGAATATGGTAATAAGAGTAATATATAAAATATAATAATGTAATTGTTATTTTATTGGATTTAGAAATAAAAAAAAGGGGAATACAAACAGCAATTTATCATGTTTATTCGTTGACAGTAACCGCAAAGCCAACCAAGCTTTTAAGCCGAAAAGCGGCAAGTTAAGTAAGCAAGGATTAGGTTCTGCGACGAGCGAATGTCCCGGAACCTTTACGTAGGGACCGGATTGGCCCCTTTCACGCTGGACCTAAACGTAGTTCGGTAGGTTGCCATGTCCCGTTTTAGTCTCCTAGATGGGACTCATCTGCTGATGCTCTCACGAGGATACCACGGAATACCACAACCACGAAGCGTCACTTTGCACTTAAAAGCAGGGCAAAAGCTCTTTTACCGTCGTGAAGAAAGTGCACGTCCTATTTCTGCGCTGAATTCTGTCCCCTCTTCCCGCATTTGTTTTTATTGTGTGAATAATTTGTTGAAAGAAATTGTTTTTTTTCATATTGTGTTACTACAAAAAAAATAATGAAAAGGGGATTAGTCAAATGTTTATTGTACAGAAAATAATATTTTAATGGATACACAACTAATGTAATTCATTAAAAACAGTCGGATAGAGATATCTTTTTCGCCAATTCCGAAAGGCGATAAATTATTTCATTTATTTTCTTATATTTCACAAATAATATTAGCCACACTTTATTTAAGTCTTGAGAAACAAAGGAAAATTTTTTTTGTAAATTATTCAATTATTTGTATAGTTAATCATTTTTCACCTTTTCTTACAATTATAAGGTATTTTTCTAAGAAAATCAAATTTACAAATATATAAAGATTGTAAAATATGTTTAACATTTTGTTTTATTTGGGCATTAACGCACAGGGTGCAACCGAAAATTAGATTGCTAATGATGGCTATCCTCTCGGTAGAAATACGGACGTGACACTGCAACAAGTCTGGCTTCGGAAGTCAAGCAGAAAGCTGCAATTGATATACACCGGTGAAACTTTGACTGACTGCATTGACGAGAAGCTCGCGCAGTGGAACGACAGCGAGTGTTCGTCCAGCTCACGCGGTGTCTATCACTATCACGATGACGGTGACGATGAGATGTCGATCGAGACGTTCCAACTGGACGGCAAGGACGCTTCGATGATACCCCGTGATATCTCTTGGCTATTGTCAACATCAGAGCTTCATCATCAGTGCGATCGCGTGAGAATGCGAGCACGAAACCAAGTCATGGCTCAACGTCGATATAGGTATGATCACATGAACGAATATACATCCTCTGAATAATATCAAACGATATCTTCCACGGTAAGCTTATTTGAATTCTCTAATTGTCCAAGCGAAGACATACACCTACCATGGTACGTCTATCTTTTTGTAATAGAAAATGTGCAAAAGCGAGAAATACAACGAATGGAAAACAAAGTCGAAGTCGGAATCGAAATCGAAGGGAGTTATTTATGATACCAGGAACGCAATGGTGCGGCCGCGGTGATCGTGCCACCAAATACACCAATCTAGGCGGTTTCGGCGTGGCTGATGCCTGTTGCCGTAAACACGATACCGCTTGTCCCTTTTTTATCCCGGCATTTGAGACACGTTATGGCGTTTTTAATTGGAGAATTTCGAGCATGATGCATTGTACTTGCGATGAACGGTGAGTAATCTGTGAACTTATCTAACAGCACAGCTTGGTATCTCTCTTTCTATCAAAGAATGTCAATCAAAAATATAATAATTGCTATTTGAGTGATTATCTGATCTTTAGAAATCCATCATCCAGCGAATCTATTCTGCAATGCACATTTTTAACACACAATGATATTTTAATGCTTAGGTTGATGATTGTAGTATCTGACACGCAAAATGCAACTTTTTTTGTATATTGTAGATTTCGCACGTGTTTGAAAATGGCCGGGACTGCGTCGGCCGATTTTATAGGCAAAATCTTTTTCGACGTGCTGCAATCGAAGTGCTTCGTTTTGAAGCCGCAGAAAGTGTGCGTGAAACGGTCTTGGTGGGGCAAATGTCTGCATTACGAATACCGGAAACAAGCCTACGTACGAGATAATGTTCCTTACTAAACCAAAGGGTGTGCAATGTGAGAAATTGACGTGAAAAAAAATATAATAATAATGAAATATTCTTCTTCCGGAGATGTCAATAGCAATTCTCAGGGATGTAATATTTTATCGAATATTTATATGTCAAAGAGAAAATAAAAGAAAAGAATCCAATCGATTATTAAATCGAGAAATTATATCGCCAAAGATACGACTGACAATACAACGTAATGTTCTTAATGCGAATGAATCATTATATTAAGTCTGCCGATAATTAGACACCTTGAATAATAACGTCAGAAAGGAGGAGAGTATAAGCGAATGATTCTTTCAATTCACATCCACATAAATGCCTTCGTCTCAATAAAATCACTGAAAAAGTAAACTACTTCTTTGGCATATATCATAATATAATATTTATATAAAAATTTTTTAACGTTATTTATAAATATATTATAAAATTTATTTAAATTTAAATTAAATCATTCGTTTATTTTCTCACTTCTGTCGTTTAATTGTAGAAAATTGGCATAGAGATCGACGATCCTAATATAGATTTATTAAATTTGTAGATAAAATTCGTTAATTTTCAAATATCACTAATGTACTGTTAGTGTACCAATAGAATTGCGCTATTCAGTTTTCATTTTTAATGTAAAAATATAAAAATAAGAAGAAAAAATTATATATAGGCTACGTATAAAATATACAATATCGAGGATCGTTTGAAGTTTTTGATGAAAAATTATAATTGCATGTATTTATATCATCTACTTATAAATTGTACAACGTAAGATTTAAATGTACAACGTATAATCAAAATTAATTTTCTAATTATTGTTTATATTGTGTTAGTAATGCTTTTATATTGTACAACTCAAGATATTCATTTGTATAGGAAAAAATTGTTAAATATGTCACAATGTTATAGACGTATTCTTTACTTAATTTGCGAGGAGTGTTTCCAAAGTTCTGGGAATTGCGCTCTGATTAAAAAATAAAAGACCACTAGAACTTTGGAAACACCCCACGTATATCCCATTTTTTTCTTAGTAAACATAAATGAACGCTTTTACAACTTCTTAATTTTTAACATTAAATAATTTAATAATTAAAAAATGGTTTATCTTTTGTTAAAGTAAACTTAACATTAAGTAAAGAACAAAAATTTACTTATTTTTATTTTTTTTATCTACAGAAAATTTTTACTTTAATTCTTATATATTTTAAAATCTATGGATTTGTTATTTCACAGAACATGTGTCACATAGAAAGATTGAAACCAAAGATAACTTTGATAGTCTATTTCAAAATTATTTCATATACAAACAATTATCATAATCTAGTCTTGTAATAGTAATGTATAGTAATTATCGTAATAATTAATATAGTACTTTGTATGTATTATTGGCAAAATATTAGCAGAAAAATACAAATTATATACAAAATGTTCTATATCATAACACTCGTTAATAACAGATTCCTGAGATTATTTGGAGACAAAAATCTTAATGTCGATAGAATAACTAAAATATCGAGGCTATATAATTTATGCACTATTATTGAAATAACTTTATAAATTCATTTGGAACTTATTTATAAATTTATTTTTATTTATTTATTTATTGTTATTTTTTTGAAATGTTGACATTGAAACGCGATGTGCATGCATTGAACTATCAAAGCTTTCACATGAAGTGTGTCATAAACAAATTCATCTTCAATGTGCAACATGCCTGAACACGCGACTTTTTGACAATCTGATCAATTTTAAACACTTTCCATTTAAAAACTATTGCGAAACTATAAATCTCGACAATTTGGTATTAAGATTTTCGTCTCCAAATATTTCAGGAATCTGCCATTAACGGATGTTACGGGTCTGGGACATTCTGCATTATATACATATTTTTTTCCTACTACTTATGCCGATAGAGCACGTTAAGTTTTATATTAAACATATAGAATTAACATTACACGTATATAAGAAAAGAATTTATTAATTTTGTAGCGACTAAAATGAATAAATTTATTACATAATATATATCGGCATATGCAATATGTCAAACACAACAAATTGATAAATTGGTTTTAATTTATTTAATTAATGAACATTTACCTGTTTTAACATTTCTTTTCCGCGAAGAATCCGATGATGAAACATACATTTATTGTTACAAAATGAATACGTGATAGGAGCATGTTGAGGCATGCGACGCGAACAAATCCAAACAAACCTATATATAATGTCTGCTAGGGTTATGTTATTGCACATGCGCAGGATCCATTTCTTCATTCCACAATCCACAGCAGTGTGTAAGAGCGGTCTCATGTTGATACAAAATTCTTCTTGATGCAGATAAATTTTGTTATGATACGAAATTGAGGAAAAACATTGTAATAATAATAATATTTATCAGAGACTTGAATGAGCCTGCGTAATGTTACTAAAAAACTATACAATACGTGTAAAATGAACATAAAACAAGGTAGCATCCCTTGTTTACGTGCGGAATTGAATCTTGGTCTGACGTTGCACGGTGGTCAAAGTTTTAGGTAATAATTGATGATTCTGATTAAATTACAGTCGATTGTTCGCGTTGTGAAGCATCATATCGTGATGCTATCCGTGAATCAGCTGACTTCATAAAAATAAAGTTCTTTTGTGTTGCTCTCTCATTATTTACATTTATTAGTAACCACGTGACTATACGTAAAATAAAAATGCTTTTATGTGCGTAATAAAAGTATAATGGGAATTAAGAAAAAATTTCGCAATATAAGTAGTTTGGTGATAAAGATTTTATAAGCAAAATATTTAGTTGTATGAAAATATGTAATAAAAAAATACTATCATTCCCAACAATTTAGAAATATTTTGTGATTAGTGATTAATAAATTACTGTTACATTAATATTTAGTGTCTTTTTAGAACTTTGTCTTCAAACCATAACTTTTGTTTCAGATGGACAGATTGTGACAGTGGCTACAGAGGTATCTTTAATGGATATCTTTGGACTTTGTCTCAAAATGATACCCATTTATTGTATACTGTACAAGGACAATTAAAGGATTCTGTAAATTATGACAATATTTTATTTGAATATTTTAGATTATCAATATCCTTACAGGAACATTATAAAAAATGGGTGGAAGTAGATGCACATTTTCAGAAGCATTTAAATGAAAATAATGCTATACGAATTCTGAAGCAAGATGTTGTAGAGAATTTATTTTCATTTATATGTAGCTCTAATAATAATATATCAAGGTATATTCTTCAAAAATATGTCTAACAAGTAAAATAAATTTATACTGTTGAATATATGTTTGTTCCAGGATATCAAGCATGGTTGAAAAAATGTGTTTGTTATTTGGTCAGAAAATATGCTCAATTGAAAATAAAGAATATTATGATTTTCCGACAATAGAAACTTTGAAGGAGAAAAATGTGGAAAATATATTAAAAAGAGAAAAATTTGGATATCGTGCTGCATATATAGTCAATGCAGCAAAATGTTTATCTACATTAGGTGGAAAAAGTTGGCTTTCAGATCTACAAAGGGAAAATAATTCTTATCTTATCGCTAAAGAACAACTAATGACTCTGCCAGGAATTGGTCCCAAAGTTGCTGATTGCATATGTTTAATGTCATTAGACCACTTAGATGCTATACCCGTAGATACTCATATTTTCCAAATTGCACAAGCAAATTACTTGCCACATTTAAAAAAGCAGAAAACGGTTACGCCAAAAATCCATGCTGAAGTTAGCAATTATTTACGAGAATTATGGGGTCCATTAGCTGGATGGGCACAAGCTATTGTATTTTCTGCAAAAATTAATACTAAACCGAAATCAACTGGAAAGCGAAAATGTGAAAACAGCAAAAATCAAAATTTAATAGAAGCAAAAATTCGTAAAGAAGTGTAAATATATTATCGTTATGGAGTAATAGCGTTAATTTTCATAAATATATAGATCATGCAAAATATTTTATCTAGATACTGCTGAAAAATTGTGTGGACCAGAGTGGACCTTTTTAACAATCATTTGATGTAATTTATAAGTTTTAAAAATAAATAATATACTGTATGTTGGTTTCGTGTTATATTTAAATATATAAAGCACGAGTTATTTTCTTTCGAAACAAAATAGTTATTAATTTTAATATTTTTTAGATAATGCATCTTTCAAGAGATTTAAAGATTTCAAAATCATTTGCAATAAAAGTACTTTTGAATATCATCTTCTATCTACACATGAACCGCTCAGAAGCTAAATTGTTTATTTATGAAAACTTAAGCGCCAATCATGTATTTTGATACTAAAATTGGAAAAATTGCAAAAAGTGGAGCTAATCAGTCGAGCGTCTCACTCCTTTTTCTGTTTCTTACATATTCATCTATAACAGAAATGTTACATAAAATTTTATTATAAAATTAAATGCATCTTTTCTAAAAATAACGTACAAATTTACAATTATTTATCATGTTAGATTTACAACAATTATTTATCATGTTATATATAATTATCACATAATTATATAAATGTAGATTTATCAATAATATTTCTTCTTTTTTCTTCCAAGTCCTACAAGGGCATAATCAAAATCATCTAAAATGATATGTTCTGCAGGGAATTCAATGTCATCTTCATTATCGTAATCTGCAAATGTATAATTATTGGTAAAAATTGCTTATTAATAAACATGCACAAGGAACACAGAGTAAGATCTGTTAGAATTACCAATAGATTTTTTAAGTATTTCAGCAAATATACTTTCAGAAAAATAACGTAAAGCAGGAAATGTTTTTGATAAATATGCTTTCTGCAGAGGCGACAATACTGCTAAGCAAGCAGTTTGCAGAGATACTGGTATCGAATAGCTACATGTTAATTTCATTATACATTGAGCCATTGTAGAGCTCACTAATGGATAAAGCATAACGTTATTCAACCTGGTGAAAGCGATACCTAAATAAAATAAAAAACATCATACACAAACTTGTATATATCTAGGCACAGTATTTAAAGAAATAATTGCTATTTACCCAGTGGCTTTCGATTAAGAAAAAATTGTAACGTGCCACTCCAAGTATCAAGATGTATTCCTATTATACTATTTTGACCAAAAATTGTCCCATATTTACATATTTTGCCATCGTGCATTATATATCCTTGATATGAAAACCCCCAAGATTCTTGATCTCGTCCAAGCAGAGAATAATAATGTCCATTTAAATTGGTTAGTCGTACATTTTCGGTCCCTACACCAACCATCTAAGAAAAAAGACATAAATGATGATAAAGTTATTTACTAAACATATTGAAATTCTTTTTTTTAAATAGATCCAATAAGATATAAACAAACTTACTACATCTGTGCCATATATTTGCGTTATCATTAAAATCTCCCAAAAATGATGCCTTTCTTTTTCTAGTGGTTTTTCACCCTTTACTACAGATGTACCAGTGCTGTATACAGGATTAAATGTAACATGTGAGTTATTGTCTCTTAGTTTAACTCTTGACGAAGTCGAACCTTTTTCATCCCAAGTCCATTCATATTTTGTCGACAAAAAACCTATATTTTCAAATCAAGGGTAAAATAATATCGAACAATCAAATATTTAAATAACTTACTGTTTTCTTCCTCTTCATGTTGATTATTTGTAATTAAATCTGTATTTTGTTCTGTAAATTATATATTTTAATTATTTTGCTATATATATCTATATATTACATATGTATATATATTATATTTGTCATGTTTTAAAATTGCCATAAGTTGGCATCATCAAACTCATATCTATTTTCTTTCTCTTACCTGTGCTCATTGAATTACGCAAAACTATTCGACAGATTTATTCCAGATTGAGAGTATCAGTGATGCTGACGAAAACGTGACAGAACGTATAAATACAACAGATCAAAGTTCGAATTTCAAAATAACATAATTTGTTTCACTAAACTATAAATTTGTTTTTTTCAGTTGTACTGGGACTGCACTAAACAAGTAGTACAGGTGGCCTATAAAGTCTAGTAAGTTTGCATCAGATTATACAACTTGTTGCAGCAATTCACATGCAATCTAGTAAATTACTAGAAATGCTGTGTGCTGTATGGTACATTTTTAAAAGAACAAACTTAATGCGCGTATGAGACTACACATTGAAAATTGAGATTGAAGATTGAAGATTGAAATTTGACCCATCAGGCAAAGAACTTTTAGCTCCTTTTGTTTCGATTGGTCACACACATTTCAATCCTTAGTCTTCAATTTTTAATGCGTAAGCTGATACGGGCTTAAGGATCGCGAAAGTATCTCTCTTCATTATCCTGAGTTTCTTACTTTCCTCGCATGAGGTCTCTATAATTAGTTTGTATTTGGACCGTCACTTTGATATATTTATAACCAAAATATGGCAGAGAGAGGTGCACATTTGACAGGAACTGCATACATAAGACCTTCTATTTTTGAAATTATTGCACAGAAGTCACTTTCTTCTATTCTTGAGCCGGCTTTTAAAAAGATTCTTTCGGTACATTAATTTGTTTAAAACGTTTTTGGTAATACATTTGTAATGCTACTTTTGGCAAAGAGTTTATTTGGTTTAAGGTTTTTAAGATACATCTTTTTTTCAATTAGAGAGCCTATTTTCGTTAAAAGTTACAGAATAAGGGACTTTTAATGCTATTATCGTTATTATTTTTTTTGGTGATTTGTTAGTGACCAAATTACCTCTTTTCCAACTATAATTGTAACCAATTTCTCTTTGGTAACAAATAATGAATTTAGTTATTTTTATTATTTTTTATACATTTGGAACTTATTTAATTAGCACTCAATGAATTAATAATTATTGGGTATGTTTTGTGTATATTTTTGTATCTACTAATCTTTAATTGTTTACTGAGAGATTTATTCTGTTGAAACAGTCAGTGCTTTTTGATAGTAATATGTATATTAAATAAAAAAGCACTGGGAAGTACTACATATGAAAAGTTATTACACTTTCAAATATCACTTATCAATGTTTTATTATGGTCCTAACATATTACATGTGATTTATAATATATAAAATAGAACAAATCTGCAAATTTTCTAACTTTCTCTGTGTTTCATTATGTTTACATTTGCTATGCTTTCCTTTTTAAAATCTATATTTAAATTATTATTTAATATTTACTTTTTGCATATGCTGAGTTATAAAATTACATAATTATTGACACTTGTCAATCCATTATACTTTTTCATTTAAAATTATCTAAATTTATTTATTACTTTTATTAAATATTTTACTAAAGAAATGTTAGAAGTATTATATATTATATAATGAAGTAGAATAGAAGTATATTATATAATGTTAGATTTATTGTTTATAATATAAACACATATATATATACACATACACAATATATAAGACAGTATATTGCACACTCGTCAGAAAAGCGATAAAAGTAAAAAATATCATATATAAATATCATATAAATTCAAAAGAGAGGAAAGAAGGAATTGCGTTAATAATAACGTTTCCTATTAATAATATTATGAATTAGTGTTTATCTCAAATTCTGTCGCAAATTATAAATCGTCTGAGGCAAGCTTGATTTTACGGAAAATAATTTCACAAAATAATTATGCTTGATTAAACAATCATTTAAAAGTTAATAAAACGTGCTATTTCTGATTATTTATATTTTCTATTGCAAGTTCTAAATTGCATTCATATATTTAAAGTTTTTAATAAAATTTTTTAATTTTTTTAGTTTCTTGTGTCATTCAATCCTGAAAGATATGGACACGTTCTTCAATGGGCAGATGAAGGTTACTTAATTTTTAATGCAATTCTTCAAGAATATTACTTAAAGAAGTATTGTAAGTATTTTTACATAATATAGCATGTTTAATATTATAATTATTAACAATAATACTTGACTATAATGTATATGATTCTTTCTAAAGAGATAGAAATCTTATCATATGTAATTGTTTTTTCAGCTGCATCATTTTCCGAAACATTTTATGGTTTGAAGCGTGTTGCAGTAATTGATTCTAAGCTTAAAGGAAAGCTACCATATAAACAGCATTTATTATCATTGATATTAATCGTGGCATTGCCATATTTAAAAAATAAATTAGTGAAACTCAGTTTGAAGTATAGACTCGAAGAAGCAGAGGGTCGTGAATCAAGAGAAGTAAGTTTAATACACACAATGCGTATAATTTTTAAATCATAATCACAAAATATAAATATTAATGTTACAGAGAAGGCAGACGTTTTTCCGTAAATATGTTGTCAACGGCCATTCGATCTTTTTTGTAACATATGAATCTCTCGTGCTGTACTATTATATACTTTACGTATCCGAGAGGTCAATATATCCATCACCCTTGCTAAGACTGCTGTCCGTTACGCTGACATACGCTGATCCGCAGTCTGTTCTTAATAGCGCAGATTTATTAAGGAAGATAAAAGAAAATTCATTTACCGTTGATGACGGATGGAATATATTTCAAAGAATCGTCACTGGATCTTTCGAATTAGCAGCTTTCGTCTTGCAATTTTACTCATGGTGGAGTCAGGAAAATTATGATACAGACATTATGAATCTTCCAGCTCCACCACCTCCAAAGGTAAAAATGAATAGATTACTATACTTAAATTAACAATTATTTCGTGTAATATCAAAGTGATTTGAGTTACTGAAAAAAAATACAATAGGTACCAACTGTGACGCAGCAATATAAAGGAATTTGTCCACTTTGCCATAAGATCCAACATATACATACAGTACTTATGGTATCTGGGTAAGTGGGTAATATTTGAATATGTAATAAGCTGTGTTAATTAAACTTTGCCTTAAATAATTTATAATTCGCGACAGAATTCAAGATAGGAATTTGCTTACAACTTGATATACTAGAAAATAAAATCTGAAAGTATGGATAAATTTTCATCTCAAATTCCGTGCCGCGTTAAATCGTCTGAAGCGAATCTAAATGCAATATAAAATTAACGCCTTTAATTTTTTGCAGTTATGTATTTTGTTACCAATGCATTTTATCAGAAATACGTAAAAATAAAAGATGTCCAGTAACACACTATCCCGCCAAGGAAGATGATTTGATACGTCTGTATATAGAATAATATATATTGTTGTAATGTGTTACGCTTTTATATATTTATAATATTAATAATATATATGCAAATAAAGGTATTGGGGTATTGGAGAAGTATGCCAATTGGCTGTAATCACGTTACATATCGTTCCAGAAAGCTATTGTTATGAAATTACCATATATTTTATATACATGAATAAAAAACTTGTTTTTGTTTCAAAATAATCGATTTTATTTTAATGACTTTGCAGCATATTAAATGGCAAGGTACTTATAATCATTAGTATATATCTATAACATAATTTTTACAAACTTACATTTAGAATTAAAAAATAGTTGCTTAAATTTTCAAAGTCATACCATGACAGAGTCACAATATAATAATGACACAGTAAAACGCTGAATCAGGAAATAACAACAAATAACATTCCAAAGTAATTTAAATGTGTTAATGCATAATTCTTTGAACATCGGGCTTTTAGTGCTTCAAGCGCTTAGAATAACTAGTAGCTATATACAAATTACGCTATTTCAGGAAATAAAATTATCTAAAATAAATTGTACAATATAATAAGGCACATTTTTTTCTTAAAAATACGTAATACGTAATAGATATTGATTAATCATATTGAATAGAATAAAGATACAAAAACAGATTCTAATAACGCCAAATAATTTTGTTCTTGCATGTAATCAAATGTCAATTTCTTCTCTTTTTAATTTTAACTTTTATACATTTATGAACATAGTCTTGAAAAATACAACGGAAATATTCATTTATTGAATACACTATTATTTCTGATATCGATAATTAATATATAAGGTCACTTTATGATTAAAACTTATACATACACGAATGTAACTATAAAATTCTCCGATTACGACAATAAAAAATTATAAATTCAAATTAGAAAATAATTTTCTGTGTTCTATATTTCACAGTATTCACTCTTTGCCGATTAATTTATTACTTTATAACATTTTTACATTAAATAATGGAAGTAACGCATTTTTTTCAAAAATGCTTTACATCAAAGTTGTAGGATTTAAAGAGAGAAAGCTACACTGATAATGTTCAATTTGATATTGAACGAAATTTCACATCCGACGAAAATTATATCCAAATCAAAACTATTTCGATCATTTGTTACTTTTTGCGATGGGATTTTCTTATTTCTTTTATTGTGCTTCAATAAATTTCCAACCGTCAAGTTGTCTGAATCATGCAAATATTGTTGAATAAGATAAAATTTTTAAGTTGCCTCGCAAATAGTTTATTAGCACTTTCGTAAAATATTCAATTTGAGAATTGTGTAATTATATTGTGTATGTAATTATATCAGAAAAATGGTTAAGCATTAATAGTTTGTATCAATCATTAATTATATATAGAACATTGAGCATTGTAAAACGTGGTAATTAATATTATCATTTTTTTTTCTATCTAACTTGCAATTAAACAAGAAACAGATATCGCAAATTTCGAGACCGATTAATAACTAATAAGCTGAGCAAGTTAGTCTACAACTATTATATTTACAGGTACGGATTTTCCCGCAATATTCACTATATTGATTAATGTAGCTTTTGATTACAATCCAATGCTTTCAAATGAAATAGAATGTTCGAATTTAATTTGGCTTGTGTCACAGACATTTTTAAAAAGAATCACATAACATATTTAGATAATTAAGTCAGATAATTGAAGAGTTTAAATCAAAGTTTTCATCGATATCCATATATATGTCGGAAATGTGTTGTGCCAATGCTTAAGTTGTTACAATAGAATGTTATAATAATATACACATGAATCACAGATAACACTGCAGATTCAATCTAAGGATGCAGTGAGATAAAAAAGGATTCCATATGCATACGCAAAAGCAAAAATCCTTCTTGCATGTACTACATTCATTATATGGATAATATAGAACACTATACATTAGATGTACGATCTGTATAAAAAATGATTATAAGCTATAGATAGTTAATAATTAATATATTCAATTTATATTGCTTTTATAGGTTGAATATGTAGCTATTGAGAACGTTTAGTGTCATGAATGGCTTAATTGATTTCTAGAAACAAATTTATAACAATGTGCAAATAAATTGTATTTTTATAAAAATATAACTATTTTTAAGGCTTTTAGGACACACGTTCGTTGACATATATGGACACGCCTGACCTGCAGATTTTTGCATGTCCATTATTATTATCATACATACTTTCTATTATGGTAAAAATATTTCGTACACCACTGAAAACAGAAAGAAAGAAACATGTTATAATAATAACTTTATACAAAAAGATGCTTTTTTTCTTGGAAAAGTGAAAATGATTTCTAACGTTAAGAATGTAATACTGTATTAACATTTCAGAATATATTTGCTAAATACACACAAAATATAGCAAAATATAGTATAGTAATAAAAAAAGCTACTGAAATTTTACAATAATATACATTAAGCAAAACCGCACGTATGTGTATGTTTGTATGCATGTATGTGCGTGCGTGTGTGCAGCAGATTGTTTTGCTTTGTTTATTAATGAACACACATGCATACTCATATATAAAAATTAACTGAATATTTATACAACTTGATCTACTATTTTGTATGCCATTAACGGGTGTTACGGCAAGTCTGGGACTGTATATTTTTTAAAAAGCTGTGTTGCTAAAAAGAAATTAATTCGAGATTCGAATATGACATTACAATTCGATCCAACAGAGATGAAACATCTTATAATATAGTATACGCTTTAGTATTTTATAATGGATACGTACGTGTGTCCGTGTGAGTTTGTCACTTTTTAAATTCAATCGAATTTCATTAGCAATATGGAGTTTTGTCTTCTTAAGAATTATAACTCTTCGAAGAAGAGAACTCTAGCTTTAGTAGTTCCGGATTTCACTTTTTTCAGTGTGCTGTATTTGTTCTCACCGAGTCGGACTTGTTCTTCGTGCAACTGATCCAGTTCGCATTGCTTCTCGCCGACTTTCAGAACTTCAATTTCAGAACGTAATTCTCGCAATTGTTCCTGTAAATGTTTACTTTTCTCCCAATAATCTACCCTTTCCCTTTCAATCTCTAACGAAAGCTGGTCGACATCTCCGTCAGCGATAAGATCGTACGATGTTAAGTCAGATGGTAAAGGCTCCGCGTCTAGTTGCAGAGTCTGGAGATCCGCTTGCAGATCTGATGGAAGCACTTGTGTCGAGGGAAACAGATTTGGCACAGGCTGTCGACAAATTGTACGAATAAATAAACTGACATAATGTGTAAATATGTATACAACAGCTAAGATACTGAAACGTGCTACATAAATAACTGAAGATATTTCTCTCTTTGTATCATTTTCTGAATAAATATTATAAAGATATACTTACAGTTATGGTAGCTGTGTAAGCATTTCTACTGAGGAACTCTAGTAGCTTTTCTTTAGCTTCTTTTTCGGCGATTCTTGCGCGCAACAGTTCGTCCTTCAACTTTTCCGCTTCGGCAGCCCTACGTTCTGACTCTTGGACCAGTCTTTCTGTTAATAATTCAGCTTCTCTAGTTTTTCGTTCCAAATGAACCTTCTCTTCTTCAGTCTTCATATTGTTCAGTCGTATACGCGTAATCTCCTGTTCGGCTTCTGACGCTTTCTGACTTAGAAGCATTGCTTCTTCTTCAGCTACACGACTTTTCTCAGCTAAAAGATCTGCTGTCTCTTCAGATCTTCTCTATAAAACAGAAAACTAGTCAATGAGTGTATACATTTTATATAGATTAATTCATTGTGTTGGAATTACATGCTGCAGGTAAGATGATCATCGGCCAAAACGTTTCGGTCAATTATAAAGCTTGTAAATATTGAAGATAGTCTTGTAATTAACCAAAACGTTTGCAAACACATTTCTTGACGCAGTTATTATTATCGGCGCGGACAATTTGTATCGACTCAGTAGCTTACTTGCTCTTTCCATGTAAATATAATAGTTTATAGTGACAGTGAGAAGAATGATGCAAAAAAACTATTTCTATAGGAATGCAAACAATGCTTAGCATTACATAACTTAGGATGCTTTGAAAAATATATCGTTGAGAAATCACAGACATTACCAAAAAAATTATTAATTTTATTTAGATATTATATCTGTGTTTTTGTTCTATCACAATTCTGACTAGCTCATAAAATACTATTATAAAAAAACATCTTTATTTCATTTCATGTGATTCTCGAAAAAAATCGAATATCTTTTTGTTAGCTCTGAGCAGTCACTTAAATCGACGCATGTGGCCCACGCAGAATCTAATGAAATGCCAACACAATGCGTTAATTTATATTTTTTCTATCTTAATGGTTATTATGTTGTATTCTTCATCAATAAAATATCTTACAAGAGCTTCATTCGCAAGTCGTATTTCCTCCTGGTATTGCAAAAGTCGCTGTTCCATTGCAGCTTTATCTCTCTCCGCCGCTTCTCTTAATTGTTTTTCTCGTGCTAATTTGTTTCTTTCAATTTGCCTCCTACATAAAGTCATAATCATTTGTAAGAAAAATTCAAATAATTGAATACAATTTGAGATTATTGCCGAATTAAATTAAATACTCTTTAATTCTTTCAATATACATAATGGCACATATTTCGTTTTGTATCTTGTTTACAAGAATCTAAGAAGTTAACGAATTTTATTTTCTTAAATTCTCACATTATACATTCTTGAAATATATACGAGCACTGTAATAAATATTTACTGACCTTGACATGTAAGAGGAACATGTTTAAAACATGTCTAAATGTCACTTCCTATAAAATTGGCAAAAGAAAAGGGAGCATCTCTTGTTAGAATTATAGTAACGATTAAGCAAGCCAAATTACAAAAACTGCATTTTAATTAACACTGCAATATTCAAGTTAGAAACAATAATAATCGTTTAATCTATGATATTTACAATGTTTTTATATATACTTAATCAATCATTTCAACTTTTATACTTTTATAGAAAACATTAACAATTTTATTAAACAAATTAAAATTAAAATTTATAGATTGTATATCTATAATACATCTTATAAAACAAATTAAAGGTATGTTATTGTTAATATTATTATTATTAAGCTTTATTACCGTATTAAACTCATCTCTTTGTATAAATTTTTTATAATTAAAAGTAATTAGACTTTTCTGATGATAATTTTAACTATTATCAATTTATGGAAAGTGAAGTCTACTGTTTATATACAGCAAATAAAATTAAATAGTATTTGCTAAAGTTACAATATTAATTAAAAAATTGAATAACATATGAATTAATCAAACATTATTCTGAATACAAACACGGAATAATTCAAAACAAAAAACAAAATGATTTTGTTAAAAAAAAATATACATTTACTTGCCTGGATTTCTCTTCCTTGGCTTGTGCTTTCATTTGTTGAACTTCCATTGAATCCGGTTTGCGTCTCCTCATAAATAGATCGTGATTGCCAATACACAGGTCCAGGATCTTAACAAATAATACGTGAGCAGCTTTGTCAACTTTATGTTCGTCTAACCCTAAAGTTATCAAGCCTTTCACCCAGCTGCCAACACCTGACTGTTTCTTTACCAGTTTATTCATGCGAACTTTCTGCGAGAAGAACACGAAATTTGGTGATGTTTTCTCCACAGGCTTGATTACGAACTTCTTGTCGTCAAAGCTAATGTGACGAATTTCCGACCATGTAAATGTAGTCTTCGGTGCTAGTTTGTTCTCTTTTTCATAAATATTCAATCCTAATGCTGTTACTCCGAGCCAAAGATCAGTTTCCTTTTTATTCTGTAAAATAAAATAAGTTTATGTGAAAAATTCCATTGACATTTTTTTCTCTTCAATAATGTCAATAAAAATTTATTTAAATAAAGAGACATTAAAACATTAAAAACGAATTTATTACTGATATATTGACACTTACGCTAATAGGAAAATAATTTACGCCATACATATCGAGATCTTGAGCGATCTTAAGGTATTCCATTTCTGCTTCATCTCTGGACATGCCACGATGATCGGCATACCAAATTTTTATTCTATCTTCCCACATTTCTGGAGTCATTTGATACTGGTCTATTACCCTCTGTGGAAGCAAGTCTTCGCTGGCAAGCATTCCAGGACGATATGACATTTCGTCATAGTCACCATACTGATATGTAAAATAAAAAAAAAATTTCTTTCATTACAAATATAATTTATAATAAATAGTAACTTAAATTAAAAAAAGTGTTTATTATGTGCAAATTTAGAATAATTTGTTTATTATATTAGTTTCTTAATATTTTTTATTCATACTTATAAAAAGAGAATAAAATAGTTATTTAAATTTAAAATATAAAGTTTAAAAAAGTACTAGAAAAAAGAATTATATAAAAAAATTATGAAAATAGCAAAGCAAAAAAATGAATGTTTGAAAAAATATTTAAAAATTCCATAAATACTAATAAAATTCTCAAAGAATTCCTTATTTCTTTTATAAAAAAAAAATTTTTCCAAGAATTTCAGATTTTTTTAAACAGTAGAGATTTTGTAGAACAAACAATGATATTTATACATAGAAAATATGTTGGAATAAGATAGAGATATGGATCAAATCCAAAATTCGTTATTTGCTTTAAAAATAGAATCCTATTTAATAGGTATGTTAAAGTTTTTGGACTTGATCCATCATCTCTCTAAACTGACATTTTCATTCAAAATATATATATATATATAATTCAACAAACATGCAAACTCCTTAAAATTTTTTGCAAAAATTTTCCAGTATATTATATTAATATAAATGCACTTAATGTCAATGTTATATATTAATGTTATATATTTAAAAAAAAATTCATAAATAAGATGAGTTCAGAATTTATGTAATCTAATTAAACTATATGTATTTATTATATCTAAAATGGACTTGATAAATTGTTTTACTTGTAAATTACATTTCTTAGGTTATAAATTAATACCTTTGCTTGGACAGCATACGAGGCTAATAACACAGAAGCCTCAGGTGGGCAATAAATGTCCATGGACAATATAGCTTGCTTTACTTGTAAGAAGAAGAGATGTTGAGTGACTTCTTGTACAAGTTCTTCAGCTACATCCTCGGGATAAAATTTTGCTAGGAACATGAAAGGTGTTGTCGGCTGTTGTGAAATGCCTTGATCTTGAACTACAATTAATATGTATCATTATAGTGAATTACATTAGATTATATTACATCTACAGTTTATATAATTAACATTCAGATATCATCCAATAATAATTACCTTTTTTGTCCAATTTTAGCCAAGAGATAAAACCTTTTGCATCCTCATATTGTAATCCAAAATACCATGTTTCTCTTAAGCCTATCGTACGACATACCAAATCGAATAAATCCCTGCCTGTTGATCTCCACTGAAAAAAATATATCAGCTTGCAAACAACATCAATGGACAAGATATATAATAGTAACTCTAGCATAAAATACAAATCACTGACTTCTAGATTGAATTCAAGTTCTGCATCCAAAGTGCAGACTTTCACAGGGAAGGATTTCCCTGACTTTTTTCTCCGGAATGGTGACATCTTACTTTTCACAGTTCGACATCATAAAAGACATTCAGTGATCGCGAAGGCCTTTATTGAAAAACCACAAATTATGATTCACGAAGTTACCGAAAAATATTTCGTCACAATATCGACATTCTTATAATCCATTCGTTGAAATACATCAAAATAACGAATAAACAAAATAACCTTACATATTTGTCTATAAAATAGTCTTCAATATAGTAAACATCAGTTGACGTGGGCTATATAGTTTATTGAGATGTTTATTTTTCTTCACATCTGTGTGTTCACGTATCACATTTTATTTGACTCGTTAATTTCATACATAATCGCGCATTTAATGTCCTTTGTGGTATAAACCACACTAAACTACACACACACACTGGAATGGGCACTGCAGTGATTCAAACTCGAGCCGGCCAGCACCAAGAGCACCGTGGTAGAGGAGGTCACATATCCAAGCGAAAACCGCTTATGTCACGCGTATGTACAAAGAAGTATTATTTGTGGAAGTGAGCGGACGTAGGGCTATCGCACACAAAATGGCATAACTGCATGTGCATAGCATAAGACCGTCTCGACCAATGAGCATCTAGCATGAAGGCGCCATATTGATATGCTATGCTATGTAAATCAATATGGCGCTTTTATGCTAGATGCTCATTGGTCGAAACGGTCTTCTACTATGCATATGCAGTTATGCCATTTTGTGTACGATGGCCCATACTGTTTTCCGTCTCTTTTCTACCAAGGCGACGTTGCGCGCTTGTTACGTATGAAATAACGTGAAATGCTTTTTCGAGATTTACAGTCTTGTAAAAAGTAAGTAATATTGATATAAAATATCTCAATATTATACATTTGTATGAATTATTAATACGAGTTAACTGCGATAAAAATAAGTTTCTAGAATATTAAAGAACGTTTAATATATTATTTTGTTATTAGTTTACTATGCAATATATATTTGCATATAAGATCATTTTGCAGCCGTCGATCTGTGTGCAACTGGGACTCACTCGTTTTATCATGCTATGTATTATCGTTGCACGATGATTACCAAGTGAGTGTTATTTTTATCTTAAGCTTGACAAGACGACGTTAGATGGCACATATTGTCCGTCAATCGCCATGTTGGTTCAAAGTCCAAGATTGACTGTTGCGTACGTGCGTACTTTGTCCCGACGAGACGCGCATGTCTGCAGTGCGTGGCCGCGACGGTGGGGCGATCAGCTGTACGTACCTAGCCTCCCCTCACTTGGAACTCCGTGCTGCCGAGCGATAGTACGCGTTTCGTTTTCGTGTGTAGGTTTATCCGCACATATACGACGTTGTGTTAGCCGCAACGCTAGCGCCACTCGATCGAGCGGCCGGAAAGCGATTCGATTTCGCGACTAAGCCGCGACGGCGAAGAGCGGTTAGTGCGTGTGGCATTCCGCGCCGAGAAATGGAAGCCGACGAGACGCGTATGGTGTCCGGTACGAGAGCGAGTAGCACGTTGCCGACCTCGCATGTAGTTGCGCGCGAGCCCGTCGCAGTGACAGCTGTGTCCGTACGTCGCTTTTGAAGTTTGTTATGACAAAGAACGTATCGCCGGGCACGATCGGTCGCCGATCAGCCGCGTATCCGATTGGATAAATCGCCGTCGACATTGTCATCGTTATCTTTTTGTCTTTACCGCCGTTGCAAAATATTCGCGTCGCGATAGAAAAAGTGTTTTTTTAGTTCTACTGTTCTCTCGAGCGGAGAGAGAGAGAGAGAGAGAGAGAGGGAGCCGCCGGGTGACGGCGGGCGATTAACACGGGAATTCGACGGTTGTCGAGGGAGGCGTATAATCGCGAGGATGTGGTGCCTCGTTAGTCAGGCCAACTCCGTCATCCTCGAGGTGCAGGTCGACCCGAAGGCCATCGGCCAGGAGTGCCTTGAAAAGGTTAGTGTGCAATCTTTGTTCTTGTTGACCAAAAAACGGAACGTCTCGAGCACATAACGCCAGATGCGACAATTATTCTCGTTCGACACGTTTTCGATGCAAACATCGGGAAGTCACTTGGTGACATTTTACAATGTAATTATAGTTAATTTATTCCCGCCGCATGTTCTGTGTTTATATCGACTACGATATTCATAGACAAGCTTGCCGCGAAATCGGCTATATTCATACCACTTGTCTCGATGCGCCAATTACATGTATCTCGCGCTGCTCGGAATTGTTTCGTGTTTTGAATTTGCTTTGTATTCATAAGGAAATATTTGACTTGTGACATCTGCTTCTTTTAACTGAGGTTAATTGTGTATAAGAAAAAGTGTGACAGAAGATGGGCTAATGACTTATTAAGCTCGTTTTTACTAACGCAGTTTAAAAAATTAATCTCTAGTAATATTCGATTATAACGAATCGTAAGACTTTTTAATCTGCATTGATAGAAACATTATTCTAGTAAAATAATTCTTAATACATTTTGAGAGTCAGAAATGCGTTGTAGATTATGTTAACAACTCAGCATATTTGACTTTGTTTTTTTTTTTTTTTGAAAAGAAATGTGCTTTTAAAGCATACAAAATGTATAGCGTGATGTGTATTGTTCTTCAATTCTTCGAGTTTTATTTCTCTCACAATTAAAAATTATTTGACTTTTGCCGCAAATTTTAACATATATTATAATGAATGCTGTCATGTATTATTGATTAGAGCGACTTTTGAACGTTATTCAACCTACGATTAATTAAAATTCAGTCAAAAGAAGTACGTATGTGCATGAAGTTAAACTATTCCCCGTCCTTGTCGGAGCGAGTCTGGATGATTCATCGTTGAAACTCTTCGCCTGGAGAATTTCCAGCGCGATTCAGGTCGGGACAATTGTGCATGCTGCAACTCGAAGGGAGTGCATCCTCGTGTTGTGCAACACGCAATACACTGTTGAACTCGAAGAACAGGGAGATTCGCGATTTCGTGTAAAAGCGCATAATAGCCAGGTTAATGATGATGATTCGCGTATGCAGCATCAGAACTGCAACTTGTGTTGCAGGTGAGCGAAAAAAGTAATTCACCGTTTTTGCTTTATCTCCATTTGGACATAAATTGATATGCAGATTACATTTCCTGGGGATTTGTAGGCCGTTGTGCTTTTAACTAGCGTTGAGACTGCGCTTGATCGCTAATTGCGCACTCATGTCTTTTCAATGGCTTCCGTGAATTCGCGCTCGAGTGAATCGATGCAGTGCGTTGATAGCGATGAAAATCGACGCGCGATCTATGGTGGAAAGTTTCGCGCACACCGGCAGAGTTTATCTTAGAACGCCACGGGCGTTTCGTGTTTCGGTTCCGAGAAACTTCGTATTCTCGCTTACTTGCGATTTTCCTTTTTTTCAATCCGTCAATACCGATACAATTTCGGATCAATGTACCGTGTACTCGGTTGTCTTTTTTTTTACGTTAATTTTGAAAACAACCCGACTGTATTTTGTAACGTAAAGCTTCTTATCGATTTATATCTGGACTGAAATCGGTTTCGGGAAAAGTCCTAGAAACATATCCAACTTGAATTGCCGAGGGAACCGACGAAACATATTGGACTTGTCTCGTTATTATCAGAAAAATACACTTGTTCAAAGCTCGGTTATAGATGCAGCTGACTTTTCTGTTTACAGAGATTTGAAGTGATAAGAGAACATATCTGTTTTAGTCTTTACTCCCGATAGTAGACAAACATTACTCTATCTCGAGAGTCTTTTCAGTGCGTTGATGTTGATATGTTAATGTATGTACATACATAATATTTTTCACGTACTAAAAATAAATATCGTTTAACTCGGCGTCCCATTCGTTTCTATATTATTCAGCTCACGCGATGCATGTCCGTTATCTGTGTCTAAAAATCTTAGCGCTTAATTAGCGAACGTTTGATTTATTGTAAAGATAAAATAATTGTGATAACACATCGAGAGATTCTCCTTTGTGTTCGGGCTTTAATGAGCTAATATGTTTTGCATTGCACGAGCTATGCCGTATCTTTCACGTGTGCAACACATGCCGTGAAAATATACAGTCGGCGCGATATGGGATTTCAGTCTCTTAATACTGCCGTTATCGAGCCGCGTTTTCGAAGGAGCTTCGAAGGTTTTTTCGAAAAAATCCGTTTCTGTAATCCTACACTGCCTCTTCGGAGAAACTCCCTTCGTGCAAGGGTTTTTTCTTTTTGCATTTTTCGTTTTCTTTATCGAAAGATGAAGCAGTAACCAAAGACTTGTACGTAGCAGCGTGGAATATTAAAATTTTCATTAGAAGTATGTGAAAGATGAAAAATAACTTTTATTAGAAATATAATGATATTTCGTTAAAAGATTAAAAGACTGATAAATTGTATTTTCTTAAATTTATAGGGGTTTTAAATTATTACTATGATATATAGCCTTTTTCTAAATGCGCTAGCTCCGAAATCATATTTCTCTTTTGACAGAATCTTCATAAAAATATCTTTTCCTTCGCGCATCTCGTCTAGCAAGAGCGTCGTCCGCCGTGCAACTCATTTCGTTTCCATTACACACTCCTTATGCTTCGATCGACTCGCTACATTATTATTCCTATAAGTTGCGGCGTTCATAAGGAAAGGAGGAAGAAACGGTAACGGAGGGTATCCGAACCATCGTATTCAATTTATCTCCGACCCCGAGGTCACCACGCGAGACCATTTTTCCAGATCTTTCGTCGAAAATTCGATTTCTCGTCTCTTGTTCGCGCTACGATGTTACTTACGGGCGAAATGCATTGAACATTCGATGAAGAAATTATAGAACAGAATATTATTTTAATCCATCGGTCCGATTCCAGTTATTCGTTGATATTTCATAGAATTACCATATTTGTTCACGCCCGATATTTATAGCAGAAAAATCGTTCGATATAGATACTTCATTCATGACTTATTGACATTAACGGCTAAAAATGTTTTCGCGCTGATAAAAGATTGATATTATTATTCTGATGCGCTGAAAAATTGAATGCTGTACGATTTATTTTCGATGACATCATTATTTTGCCTCACACTCGGAGTATCTTTAGGCCAATCTGTTTTTCAACGGAACGATCGTGACCCGACGACCATACTATAACACTTGCGTTTACTGTACAGCCGTCGCTCGTGGAGGAGGAACCGGTTATCATTCGTGTCGAAAATAACTTCGAAGGCCGGGAGATGAGCCGAAAATAAATCTTTGAGCCCCTTTGTGCACTTTGTTCTCTTTCATTCCTCAAAGAATATCACGTGGATAGTCGAAACGGTTTACGAAACACGGGAGTTTACTATTAATTATAATATCGCTAATCAGTATTTGCTCGGTGCTCGCCGCACCGGCAATTCGGAATCAGTGCTCAATTTGTTAATACACGGCTCGTCGGGAATCCCCATGTGTATAATTTGAATGAGCGCGGAAGAGGCGCTTGTTTATTTGGACGATACGAGCAATTGCATGAGTGACTGCGCGTAATGCAAATGCGCGCGGAACTTTAAC